AGTATCGTTGCATCGGTAGAAGTGGAGGGGCTAATAGGAAACTATCTCACATCAATCTGTGATGAAGACAGCCGAGAAACTGCTCCCGACACCCGTTGTCGCCTCTCTCCCTCTGAGAGAGGCAAGATGCATCACAAACCCTGCACAATAGTACATGCATCTATCTATCTTGCTATTTTCTGTGTGTCAGATCTGGATGCATTACCAGGTGCCAGGCTTGCCAGGATCGACCTCGAGAAGGGTGATGGTGATGGGCCTGGTGTCTTGGGACTAGAGACTAGAGACTAGAGCCCTTGGACGAATTGACCTTTCTCTCTCTCATTTGAAAGTTGAAACGGGTGCATTATTACCATGGCGCTGAACCGGAACCAGAACCAGGAAATAAGGGCCGAAAGAACAAAAGTCATTTTGAGAGAATTAATCCTCTCGTGCACACTCATTCTACACAACACGTACTGCATACTTTGTACGTTTCAATCAACGCAGAGCAAAGCCGAGTCAAAGTTGCCTGGTTCGTCCAGGCGCGAAGGAGGAAAACCAGGGTTGGCAGACGATGGTACCTTGCTGCCACGGCAGTGCCGCCGATCATCCCACGTCTGATGGATGTCTGAGATGAGCGTCAGGGGGATGGGAGACAAGACAGCATACGAAGTATAGTTGGCAAAGCGTTGGCAAGGCACATGGGAACCTCGTTCATCGGGCCTGTTGGCGGTGCTAATTTGGTGCAAGCCAGCGTGTAATTACGCTCCGCTCGACTTGATGTCCGCTATTCTCGCAGGTGGAGCTTGAGGCTTGAGTTTTGACGTCTTGTCGGATCGACTTCATGTTGTAATACCTCGGTACAATTCAGGTTGTGCTCAGTGCTCCCACTGTAATTTGACCTGTCACTGCCATTGTGTCTCTCACTGACTGGTCCATAGATGCCACTGAGAGACGGGACAAGACAGTGTGCACTCAGTCCCAATGCGGGGTGCAAGGCAAAGGTTCACAGACGGACAGGAGACATTCATAGATTGATCTATTCTATTCATTGATCAATATATCCTCAATAGGCAACATTGAAGCTCCTGGGCCTGTCAGTCGGGGCTGTCTCGAAACCCATCTAACCTGACCTGCCCCTTCCCCTGTCTCGAAAGAATGATCAGTGATGCTCAGGAAGCGTTTGCTTGAGACATCGAATAGCTCATACTGGATCGCCACTATATTTTTATTTACTGGAAGCAAGGGGGAAGGCTTCCGAGGCATTCGCGAGACCGTAGGGACAGGACTGGAAGCAACGATATAATCACAACAAGATGAAAGGAAGCAAGGAATGAATTGGAAGGAACGCACTGTCAACGTCAACTGTTGCTGGCGCGTTGGTGGGGAGGCACGTTGGCTCGAAGATTCCCGTTCTTTTATGCAGTACTCTTTTTCTTCCTCTGTTGACCAATGGCCTCGGGGCGGAAGATTTTGACCTGAGAGGAAGAAGAGTGCACGGCGTCAAGACCAACAGCAATTGATTGAACATATTAGCAAACAGCTGAAGGCTCCACCTTGCAAGGAGCCAGCCCTCAATGGACTTGCTGGGCTGACCCTGGAAGAACCGGGCAAATTCTGTTTCAGAAGCTCACTTTGTGCATCCCTCGCGCAGGCCTTATGGACCGGGGTCATGGACCAGGTCCCGACGTCCTTTTCCATGAGTGGAGAGAAAAAGGAGCAACGGCCTGGTGATATGGTGCGTGTGTGTGCGGCGGCGTGGGAGGATCAAATGCAAGTTCAATTGGGGGCTTGTGAGTCTGGTCCGTCCCTTGCACCTTATTAAGCCACCATAATCGGCGGCCGACACAACTCGGCGAGAAGGAAAAAAAAAGAGGGAGGAAACAGGGTCAGGTCTGAGAAGGCTTCAATGCTTTCACGACTGGGCGTAATGGTGCTACTCGAGATGAGGCACCGAGCTCGAAGCAGGCATGGCCGGCAGGCAAGACAGAAGACTCACCAGCGCATAGCCGCTATTGACGAGGTCCTATGTTTCTGAGCTGGAGAGAATGAGATCAGGTTTCGACTTTATGGATCAATAAACCTTTGATCGAATCCACTTGTGCCAGATCAAACGGTTTTGGATGTTTCTTGTACTTGGTATAATAAACGAGCATCTATTGGACCCCAAGGACCCATACAATTAACCATCAAGGCAGTTCCTGCCTCCTTGTAAACTGAAGTTCCTTGAAAAAGTGAACCCGCGGGAGTAAAGGGTGGAGGTATGTACAAAGTACCTGGTGCATCCTTTTGATATCTAAATACTCGATCACTGTACTTGAAGAGATCGTCTTACGAAGTAGTTACGATCGAGGTCTTGCATTTCTGGACCGGGGCTATCTGGGACTTTCAATGCCGCCGTGGTCGTTCTTTCCCCGCCCACAAGCCGCCACCCACCTTTGGCACCTGTGCTCAATCTTCATCCAAGTACGAACAGACGTGTTGGCTCTTGTGGCGTTCTGGAGGCCACCCGTGCCGTTGTATCTTCCTCTGACACGCAACTTGGTGTCTGCAGGCTTCTCATCCCGGGGTTTGCCGGCATTAAACCCATCGGGCTGATGCTGGTTTTCTCTTTCTCTATGAAGCCCTTATCAATATTCCATTCTTCAGTTCCACCTCTTCGTGTCAGATGAAGAGCCCCGTGTCGGGTGCGTGGTGTATATTGAAAACCCATGCGATGAATACATCCATCCATTGGATGTATTCAATGTGTTGATCAATGACGATTTCGACAATGATACCAAAGTATAGTTATGCAAGGAAGATACAACATAAACACACCTCATCAAGCCAACGCTGGAGCGTGCGACGTCCCGGGATCAACCCCATGCCATCATCAGGCCCCCTCTAAGCACGCCCAAGCCCGGCTCTCGCCCTCAAATGGTAATGTTCATTTGGAGAGCCAACTGCCAGGGAGCGGGCCCTTGGCCCTTCCGTTCTATCCCCCACGATCCAGGCTTGGTTAGCGTCCCCTTGCACGATTCGAAACAACGCACCCCTGGCGCCTCTCATCCATCAACGCTACACAACCCAACATACACTAGGCCAAGCTGGGACAGCTATCATGGGCAAAAAGACGAGAGCCTGGAGCTATGCTCCAAGTATCTCGTCAATGTGGTGCTCACAATTTTCTGGTCGACCCATACAATGCAAACAATCAACTGTGCATCGTCAGGGGCGTTCGATTGAGCCTAGTGTACTGTACACTAGACGAGGCCATTGCTTGGTCCAAAAGGAGTGCCATTCAGCCTTTTCTACTCTCTTTCTTCGGGAGGAAAGAAGAAAATCTGGTATGATGGATGATGGAGTGATGGGTTTACTTGGACAGGCAGCACGCATGCATCCCAAAACGAGAATTCAATCTCATCTTGATGCAAAAAAGGGACATCGGAAGCGCATTTAATCAACGAATGCTCGAGTTGGAACAGTGGAGCTTTCTTCTTCATACATTCCCGAGCTTTACAGACATGCCTCATCAAAGAAGGGGTCCTTTCCCCCTGTTCTCCCATTTCCTTCTTCTCCCTTATTACTATTTTTCTTTTCTTTCCCTCCTGCTTCTGCTTCTGGCCGGCTCGGCAAAGCAGGATAGGGAGGAACGGCCCAATCTTCAAATTTCCTCTTTCCCCTTTCCTCTCCCACTTGCTCTCCCTGGCTGGGTGCGTGTACCTCGCAGAAGTACTGCACACTGCTGCTGGTCTGCCCATGAACAGAGAAAGGGCCTGTGGGCAGGCACATCCATAATCCGTCAAATGGATCGCCCATCCCGCTCCACCAGCCGCACCAGACACATACACGGGTCCCGGAATAGTCTTGGTCGCACGTACACCATCCGCGCAAGAGAAACCTTGGTTCTCCTCCTTCGTAGTATAGTACATGCGACCCACTAACATTCCTCACCACTGGCCAGCGTACCGCCTATATGATTATGGTCGACCCGGTGTCTCTGTCAAGGCGGAGCTCGATTAAGACTGGGGTTCAGGACAAGACGGGACGTGACGAAAAAAAAAAAGAGAAGAACACGCCCTCACAACCATTCATTGGTGACGGGAGAAGAGAGTGTATAATAGGTTGTATGATAGCCAAGAATGAGGGAGATATATACAACATGCTTGCCGCCCACGCCTTTTTCCCACCCCATCCTCCCTTTCGAAGCCCCCTTGTAAAAGCCAGCCTCGAGAGAGAAGAGCGAGTAAAAGAGTGTGAGTGAGAGAGATTAGGGAAAAGAATCTCTTGCGCTCCAGCAGTTCAGAACTCTTCCATTCTTCTTCGACTAGTGCTTCGACAGCAACAAGGGAAGACGCTCTCCCCGAAAGCATCGACCCGACACCGAAGCGTTCTATTCACCCTCAACGGCTTGCTGTTTTATATTTCTTTTCATTCTCGAAACCTAGTTTTCTTCTTCTCTTTTCTTGTCTTCTTTGTCTCCGTATTCTTCACCCGAGCGAGCTCTCTTTTCTCCTGTTTTGGCCACTCATTCTCGACCGAAACTCGGCACTTATCCCACCCACACCACCTCGATCACGCCTCGCCGAGACGAGCACGCGGCCGGATTCAATCAAGGACAAGGTGTCGTGCAACTCTCTGCCTTGCCAGCTCCTCACCACTTTCATTTTCATTACTACATTTTAAGCTCTTGCCTTGCGTTTAATCCTGGATCGAACAAACGAATAAACAAATCATTTCGGGGTCTGGCGGAACAACCTTGCACTCTGCTCATTGCTTGGGCCACAGTGGTCCCTGCTAATTTCGACAGGGCCGGAATCACCGCGGCGCCCAGAACTTGACAAAAACCCCCGGTCTACAAATCTCGGACACGATCACACGGAGAGAAAAGGAAAAAGAAAGAAAAGGAAGAGAAAAGGGATAGCAGGATATTACTCTCCACCTCGACATAACTCAGCTATTCTATTCTGTGAATTACCCTGTGGGCCTGGAGGATTCGATACGATGGGATTCGCAGCGGATGCCCTCTGGCAGAGGCAATGGCTGTATCCCAATGCCCGCGTTGGCCTCACGGTCACGACAGGGGACACTCCACTCTCCACTCCTTCCATGGCCACCCAGTGCTCCTCGTCCTCGTCAGCGACGACAGGCGCCTCGAGGCCCTGACCCCTGACCAAGGTCACAGACACGGCGGGGCCATCATTAGCCTCGCCGATCTTTCAATCACCTCCGATGACAAGAATGCCACCCCCGACGACGATGACAACAACAAAACCGACTGCCCCCCGCCCTGCCCCCGGTTTATCGTCTTTCTGTCTGGCCGAGCTTCGAACACCACCAGATTCTGCGAGACGACGACCCCGACGACAAGCGGAGTAGCAGCTATTACGGCGGAGGAGGCGGCAGCGACAACGACGACGACAACAACAACAACGACGGCAAAACCGACACCAGCAGCTCCGATTCCGAATCAGAATACGAGTTGGACTCGGACTTTGGCGACTCCCCGGTGCCATCTTCCTGCAGCAGCCCGACGGGATTCTCGTGGACGACAACGGCGCCGCATCTGTCGACAGGATCGACAGCTTCCTCGACTCGGGCAAAAGCGAAAGCACGGCCACGCCCTTGCCCAACCAGCCGACCTTCTTCCGCTCGTCGCCATCAAGTGAGGGTTTCGGCTTGCCCGAGAGCCCCTCCTCCCAGAGCTCGGCGCTCGACTGCTTCCAAGAATCTCTCCCGGATCACGAAGCGAGCAAGCCCAGCATGGCTGGTGCGGCGTATATGCCGCTCTCAACCCGCCCTCTGACGGCGCAGGAGTACCAGCGGTACCGATCGCAGCGTCGGGGAGGAGACGGAAGCGGCATGTCCCCCACCACCGCAGGGTTTACCGCGAGATGCGCGAGTGACGGCAGATACCAGGCAGGGCTTCGCTCGGCCGGCGCCTCTGCCCTCGGCACAAACAACAGTCCAGTGCCCAGCCCGACAGTCCACAAGCCGACGCCGTTGAACGGTGGGAGCACGCGGGCCAAGATTACCAAACCCATGGTGCTGTCGCGAGATAGAAGAGCGAGCCGGATTCCTTCGATATCATCGCCCGGGATGATGACGAGAGAGGAGTTTGAATCGCTGCCTCCAGCTATCCAGAGAAAGGTTAGTGCTTAGTTCTTTTGCTTCCCCTTTTCTTCTTCTTCTTCTGCTTCTGCTTCTGCTTCTGCTTCTGCTTCTTGTTCTTCCGTTTTCCAATATCTCTTGCGGATGGCAGAGTTCAGCTCTGGCCATCCTCGGCCTCGCTTCCTGCTTCTTCGTTCTCGTTTCTCCTAGTCTCCTCTTGCGTCTCCCCCTTTCTCTCTCTCTCTAGGCCCTAGCGTGTCTAGCCCATTCTGCGGACTCGTTGCGAGACTTGCGCTTTCAAAATTTTGCCGAGAGGGTACATGGCTTCTGTCCTGTCTCCGAACCGGAGACACTCTCTGGCATGAGATGAGCTGGTGCACACTCGGCCGAAGATCAAGCGATCAAGCCAAAGCCGATTTGGGTCAGATGGGTCTCCTGCGAGACAGGCTGTCTCCAGGAAATCCAGGTTCGGAGGGCGAAGGGATGAAAGCGCGTCGTCGCGGGCTCACCGGTGGCAGAACATCCCCGCAGGACATGCGGAGGCTGCAAAAAATGGCAAGACGAGGGACCATTCTTTCCGCCGAGAAAGAAACAAAAAGATCCGCGCCCTGAAGTCAGTTCCATTTCCCGTTTCCCAAGCCGATATCCACATCGACCATGTCTTGGGACAACTCCTCGACCCGAACTATCCGGGACGTGGAGCTTGGTGGAGGAAAAACAGACGACGAAAATCCCTCGCCGCGCCGCGTTCCTCTCTCACCTACCATGTGCATTGTGCTAGTGGTTCGTCCGCATTTTTTATTTCCCTCGATAAGGCGGTCCTGAGGGGACGGCTAGCCCCAAGTGCGTGGTCTGGCGGGCAGACTATTGGCGTCTTGCAGTGCATGATGGCTCGAACGGGGGCTTGTTTCTTCCTCTCTACCACCACTCCCACTCCCACTCCCGCGCGGTTTCTAGGGCTGAGTGGAATGGTGGGAAGATATGGTCCGTTGGGAGCTGGCGCGGAAGCGAGATCGAATCACATTGATGCGCAGGAAAAATCCACGCTGGTTGGACAATCCGTTTGAAGCGAATTCCAAGCGCGGGCCAGTGCCCCATCTCGACGTCGCGTTTTTGAAGTTGCAACGCCAGGGCGCTGGGCGCCAAAACCGACCAGTCATTGGGGTTGACCGGGTTTTCCGGTCAAATTCATCACGGCGGAGGTTGTGGCGTTCACCAATGAGGCGTGTCCTGTCCCAGTTCGCCAGCGATCAATTTGATCAGCTCAATTGATTGACACGCGCCGTTGACCAACAAGACCCTCCTGAAGACGCTCGACGTTATAGTGGGGTCTGCCCTGGAGCTAGTCCCTTTGCAGCGCCCCAGTTGGGTGCCTGCCCTGGGCCTGCCCGCTGGGTAGCGCCTGCAGCAGGCGTGCTCCCACTCCCCCAGCTTGCTGACTACGTCGCTGTTGCCGCCCTTTCCCTCTGGCCTCCGCGGTAAACCCCCTAGTCAGCAGGATTCTTCCCTCCCCTGACAGATCATGCTCCTCCACCTTGACACCTTGACAGGATCGGTGATTGTTGCAACCCTGGATGCATCCAATTTGATCAACCCCTGAGGGAGAGAGGTTGCTATCATCTTGGGGTTTGGTGAACAGGACGATCATTGCCATGACGAACCAGAATTCTAGGCATGGATTGGTTCCTTTACCAATCTCGTCATCTTGTCGGAACACATGCTGGCTAGTTCTTTCACCATTGCGCTTCCCCCTTCCGCTGCTACCCCTTTCGTCCTCTCCCTCGGCCCAATAATTGCTGAGGGTTCGAGCTTGTGGATTGATGTGCGCTTTCTCTTTTGTGCGCCCACTTCTCCTTCTTTTTTGCGGACCTCAAGCGATTGACCGCTCGCTCTCTCTCGCTATCTCATTGTCACCCGCCTTGCAGTCCACCATCAATACCACCGTTAATCTCTTCGGGTTGTATCTGGCTGGACAGGCGAGAAGCGAGCGACGTCGCCTTGGATTCTTCCGAAATCGAAGCTCCCCCTTCGCTAGAAGTACCATGTACCGTCCTTCCCGTCCCATCCTCGTCTGGAGGGCATGAAGTCAATGCTCCCATTATACCCTCCCCAACTGATACCACTCCTCTTCTCCCAATACGACAGGATAAAAAAAAGAGATGTCGTATAACCACCACACCCCCTGCAGGTCCATCTTATTTCCCACCCTGTTGGCGCGACTATCCTCTCGGGATGGGTGTAATATCGTGCACGACTATACCACTCTGGGAGCGGTGGAGAGAGCGTCAGTGCCCTCTCTCCAGAACCCTGTTGGCACTTTACCCATTTCTCTTGGAAGACTAGCACGGGCTGTGTTGACACCTGCGGTGCCTGCTGCACTTGATCAAATCCGTCCATTCTACGTCCCCCTGCGTGGTCCCTGTGTCGTCCCTGGGAGTGAAAACAAAAAGAGATGCAAAAGAGGGCCCCTGAGTGCGAGTGGTCGCTTCCTCCCTACCCACCAAGGCTAGTGCTGGTGACGGAGAGCTTCGGATAACTATGCTTTACAAGGAGGAAGGATGCGGAGCATGAAGTACATCAATTGATGCACCTCGTCCGTCCCTCTTTCTTCCTCCCAGCACTCTGGAGCGCCGCTTGCTCCTCCTGCAGGCTGATTTCAACTATCCCCAACGCATCCAGACCTTCCCTGCCCAGACCACGCACGCACTGCACACCCTCCTCCCCGTCACTCTAATAACGAAGGCACCGTCCTGCCATCCCAGACGAGGCCTTTTCTTCTTACCCCTCGTCTTTGGGTTTCTTTTATTCTCATTTTTTTCATTCCATGTTTCGTGCTCTTCCTACCTTTGATTTTGGCGTCCACATCCCGATTACTGGATTCTCGTCTCCCATCCAAAAGCCTTGTGTTTTTGGGACTCCTTGGAGTAGTTGGCCAGTTCTCCAACTTCTCTAGCAGGCGAGGCTTGGTTGCATATCCGCCGTCCTTGGGAAGGGGATCGACCCAACTCTTTTGTCCGTCCTTGGACGAACGGCTGAATAGTCGCGGCCAGCACATGCACCATCCCCACGTTCAAATGCCCGGTTTCTTTGCTTTTCCCACCAACATACGCTCTTGAGTCGTCTTAAAAAAACGACGTGCAAAGGGGTGCCCGGAAGCGGAAGCAGGAAAAGGAAGAAAAGAAAAAGGAAATTGGAGCTCGCAGCACAAGACCAACAGTGCAGTTTTACTTACTCGCCTGCCTCCGCAGTACTTCTCCACTCTCGAACGCCTCCGACTTACACAACACCCCAACGTGACTCTCGATTCGTCCCAAACAACAAACGATTTCTACGACTTCTCCTCCACACCTTTGAAACTCCGAAAAAGTCGCCGTGGCAGGGCAGCATCCGATTTGAAATCCGGCCAGCCCGTACCTCAACGCTCTACGCCTCGTTCTCGCACGCTTTCAGTGGATTCGGCCATCGAGAACCATAGCCAACAGACCCGGCCTACATCCGAGGAGGAGAGGTTCGACCTGCACAGGAATAAGACGCTGAGCGTCATTGCCGACACCACAGACGGTACTTCCACAGTGATTGCAGAGTCCAGCTCTCTATCTACCCAAGATACCCAAGACGGTATCATTCGAGATCAAGACGGCCTCGAGGCTATCGACAGGCCGGACCTCGCATCGTCCCGATCCCGATCCCCCACCCACGAGCACCGAGCTACAGACGACATGGCGGCAGCTCACTCGCGTATGGTGCCGGACTCGTTCTACGAGAGCTTCCGGTGCCTAGATGAGAGCAACGATCTGGATCTCCAGCTCCGGCTGGATAACTACAACTCTAGCTCTGCTGCGACGTCGCCGGTAATGAAGCAGAGGAATCCCTCTTTCCGCAGACATCTCTCCATCTCCAAAGTCCATCTTGGGCTCTCTTCCCAGCCTTCCTCGAGCCGCCCCGGAACCAAGGACACGTCAGGCACGTCGACCACGTCCCCACCCTCGTCGATGACAAGTCCTGTAATCCCCCAACCCCGGACATGGCCGACGCACATCACGCGCGCTCCCTTCGAACCCCCAGGCCCAGCCTAGCGGACAACGTGGTGATTCCTTCGACGAATGCCGTCGATCTAGCAGCTGCTCACTACCAGGACCCCGAGGCTCGGCTCAAGCTTCGAGTGTACCTTGCATCTCCGCAAAAGTTTGACGAGGCGGTCGAGTTTGGGTTTCCCTCGACCGACATCGCCCGCGGGGCCACATGGCAGACTCGCGGCATCTCAGGAAACAAAAATCCTGCTTTGCCCTCTCGGACGACGTGGACAAGCACCACACCTTCCTCGCCGACGACAAATCGTCGGTTTACAGCGACGACGCATCCATGGCGGAGCCCGACTCGCCCAAGACACCCGAGCCTCTCGAGAAGCCCTCGGCGGCGCGGCCTTTTAGAGCAGCTTCCGACGCTGGCCTTCTCGCCAAGGCTGCCGTCGACTACAACCAGGCGGCGGCATCGGCCCGGGAGATGACGCTGCGGATGACGCTGACCAGGCCAGATCTGCGAGCAGGAGAGGACCAAATCTACGGGTGGCAGCACAAGGGTATCGCGGCGGGACGGAAATCACAGTCGGTGCTACGGGAAGAGGTGACACCTACCGTGGTGTATATCAGGGAGGGCAATTCCAAGGACAGCATCGAGAGGCAGTTTGCTGTCATGGATCAGTGGGCAGAACCCGAGCGAGGCGTCGTCAAGCGATTCTGGAACCGAGTTCGACGCCAATAGGTACTTGTGCGCACGCCACCCAAATTCACCCCTTGAAAGTCGCTCCAGTACCTCCTTTGGCTCAGCCCAACCCCGACTCAACCAACGAGGAGCGCAAGCACATTGCTCACCCCCAAAACACTTGCCTTGGAGCCGACAACTGCAACATTGAACCCCCACCACTCGGCTCCGTGCTCTCCTTGGTGAGCACGAAGGCTTTATTCTCATCCACTTCTCTCTTCATTGGACATCAAACCACGCCCTTGGCCTCTCTATCGGGATGGTTTTCTTCTCTTAAACTTTACTTCTCTTTCTTAATTATTTATGACATGACACATTTTCACGACATATTTAACCAACTTACCTCTATTCCCCTCTCCCTCTCCCTCTTCCTCTCGCTCTACCTCTACCTCTACCTCACTACCTCTATACATCCTGGACAGCCCTCTCGGGCCGATAACGATTGTGGCTTTCTTTTCTTTTTATCATCTTTTCCGTGTGCTGGTCCTTTTTCTACTTGTCTCATTTGTTACTTTTTCTCTTTTGAAATTCCCGAATTGGATTCACATAGCGCGTCCTTGCTCATTACTTGCTTCTTTCTCGGCCGTTCCAAACCGCCCTCTTTCTCCTTCTCCGCACACCCACCGATCATTGCCGCCTGGATTATTCTTCATTCTGTCTATCTTGTCTTTTCGTAGCTTGCAGCAATCTTTTCTGCCAAGGTATATATACCCATGGGAAATTACATGTACTACTACTACTACTACTACTAAACTACTATTCTTACTACTTCTACTGCCTCTCATACTTCTACTACAACTGCTGCTGCTTCTGCTGCTTCTGGCGGCCAGGGCTGTTCTTACCTGTTACCTCTACTACTCTTTTTAATAGTGCCTTGGCTATCTTTTCTGATATTCCTTGCTCCTTGGCTGGAAGCGGAGGGCAAGGTGATTCGTCTTGACTCTTATATATATATTTCTCTATATGTTGTCATTTGCTCCTCTGTAGCCCATGTCTCTGGACCGTTTTGGAAGGCATCGTGTGCGTCTTCGTAGCAGGGGACAGACAGTGTCTCTCAGGTTCCCGGCGTCTCGGGAGGGCTGAAGCTTTTCTTGAGCCTGGCGCTCGCAAAAAGTACCAGGTCATCCATTGGGCGGCGTGTATTTTCCTCCCTTCTTTCAAGGACCCGTCAAATATCGTCCATCTTATTATTACCGCTTTTGTCAATCTGACCTGGTTGAAAACGCACCCCACCCTGTTATGCCCAGTCCATCGTACTCCTGCTGCGTGCTTGGGCAAAGGCCCCACCACCAAGGCAAGCTCTGACCCGGACGATCTCCTCAATGTTGCGAGCTGTGACGTGCCCAACCCAGAAAATAGCAGGGAAGATAGCTTGGAGGAGGAGTACCCGCTTTCGTGCTATCTTCCGACAGGATCGATGGGGGTCGGGCGGTCCAGTCATACATGATTGATGATAGTCATGGGACGCGCGGGTTGCATGTTTTGTGTTTTTGATCCAGGCTGGGGCTCAGAGGTGATGTGTCTCATCTCACTTGCACTCTGCAGCAACTACTTCGTACATACTTTGTACACACCACACACGCCAGACCACACTGCAGGAGTACTACACTAGATTTAGCAGTGCCCACACACAGCAGCTTCAATGTTGTGCTCGATGTTAATCGAATCGGCGCGCGGTGGCCGGTGGAACGACCCTACACAAGAGCTCGAGCTAGTCTAGTAGCTGCAGGAGCACTGGGCTCGACTTGCTTGGTCTCGGTGCTTGGCCACTTCCCGCCGCTATGTTAGTAATTTTGTCCGGCACTGGCGGCGATGGGAGCGCGCACCAGGCTAGGACCGAGGTGATGGACAAATTTGTTCAGTGCGGTGATGGATTCCATCCCGCTGGTCGATGCCAGCCTTCTCCCTTTACGATTTCCCCTTTCTTTCTTTCTTTCTTTCTTTCTTTCTTTCTTTCTTTCTTTCTCTCTTCTTTCTTTTTTTTGTTGCCCTGTTGAACCAAAACAAGGTATGGGAGGGGGAAAAAAAGAGAAAATAAGATACCTTGCCTGTGTTTCTTGCCATTCTTTTTCCAACTCCTCTTAAGCGGTGGGGTTGTACGTATGGTCGGCCGGTCAGTGTCCAGATAAGGCCTAGAGGTTGGAGATGCAGAAGCTAGCACGGCGGGAAGTCCCTGCCAGGGGCGATCGCAAGGACGAGAAGCGCGAGGCAAGAGCATGGGCCCAGTTGATATATCGTGTAATATCGATGTAGATACACGCACACACACACACACACACACATTACCTAGACACACCACGAGTACACCACATATATCATTACCACGCATTTTTGCCTGCGCACGCATAAACGTCCGCACGCACACATGGACACATACACAGACATGCGCACGTACACACACGCACATATATCTATATCCACACCTAAATCCGTATCCGCAAATATATGTACAGTTTGCAGACGAAATATATTGAAGGGGTTGGAATGGCGGAAATGGGGGAACTCCCGGATAGGACGCATTTGTTAGGCCCTGAAGTGACGAGAGAGAAAAAACGAACGCCAACCAAAAGGAAGTACCTTCATGAGGAAGAGAATGAAAAAGCAAAGGTAGGTAGAGTGGACCTCGGCGGGGTATTTCTTTTTTCTTTTTGGTCTCTGTGGTCGATCTGCTGCGAGAGGGTGGAGCGTGGGCTTGCGCCGATGATGCTGGCCAAGAAGGCGGTGGGAGGCCGGCCCTGGTTTAGCTAGTGTTTATCGCTGCACCTCTGCACCTCTGCACCTCTGCATCTTTCCCCTGGGACCATGCATAAGGAGGGAAAAGGGCGGAGAAAGGCCGCTTGGATCGGTAAGCCAAGTGCGCCTTTGACGAGAAGCGATTATTTTCACGGGGCGGAGGGGAAGGTAAGGGGGCTAAAACAGCACTGGGTCGGTGATGGGATGGGGCTCGTGGGACGCGGAGATTTGCTTGGGGGAACATAGAGAACAAGTAGATACATACAGAAAAAGAAAAAAAAGAAGAGTAGAGTAGAGATTAATTCGAGACAATCCCATCCCCCATTCTTCGGATTGGCTTTGCTTCGCTAGTGGAAAGACTCAATGAAATCCATCGCTTGTTTGCTTTGCTTGTTTAAGCTTGTCCTCCGATGCGCCGATGCGCCGATGCGGGGATGCTGGTGATGAAACGGGAATGCTAGGACCTGCGTCTGTCGCCGGGCCCTGTGCGCTCAGCTTACGTGTAGTGTACGTGAAACAGAAGGTTAGCGAGGGCAAGGAAAGGAAAGAGGACGAAAAGAAGGAAAACAAGACAACATGACCGCCTCTCCGACCTCTGAGGGTTCAATGTAATACGACCACAGGAGCAGGAGGAGGTCACGCTCCCTGCAGCAAGACGATTGATGGCGTTGGAGCGAGAAGCGAGAAGCGAGCCACACTCTGCCCGAGCAGCGGTATCAAAACTCGTTCCTTCCCGTTCTGGACAAAGGCTATCTACGGCCGTGCGAGTTCTACACTTGGGCTTTCAGCGTGCGTGGAAGATCAGTCGTCCCTGCCACTTGCCATGCCGAAGCACATTTCTGGACCTTGGCGTGGGTTCGACCGGGCTAGCATCTGTTGAACACTGCCTGTTCCTGCTCTTTCCTGCTCTGTTCCAAAGATAAAAATTGAAATTAAAAATTAAAAATTAAAAAAATAGATAAAAAGAAATCAAGAAAACCCCCTTCTTCCTCAGTGGTGGTATCAATTCATCATCTTGTCTGTCCAGCCACCGATCAACTGAATGTGATGGCGTTGCGGTGCAGCAGCGACTTGAGCGCGAGGGAGTGGGTGGAATGCACTCAAGGGCAGGAAACCGGGGGTGATTCCGTGGATTTCTGTGGGGCCGGCCAGCCGGGGAAGCACGCCGGAAGTCCACTCGTCACACGTTTCCAGAGAGCGACCTGCAGAATGGCTTGGGATTCCGGGATTTCTGGAGGGGCAGAGAGACCCCTTCTCGGAAGGCAAGGATAGCATGGACTGGCACCCTCTGAAACGACAAAAGAGGGAGGAAACGCTGGCTAGGCCATGCCAAGCGAAAAGAAAAAAGAGACAAGAGAAAACAAGCAGTGGCCGGTGACTGGTGACTGGTGATTCGGAGGGAGGGGGCTTGCTTTCAACCACGCCTCACGTTTCAACAACCATCTGAAGACCCAAAAAAATACCGGGAGACGACACTGTAGCAGAGCAAAGCGCACGAGCAATCAACCTTTTCTTTTCGCTCCTTCGTCCCCTTCCATCGAACCTCCCAAAACCCTGAAGCTGGTCTCCCACCACGTCCCACCGCTTCCCACCTTCGTGTGCCCTCCCCCCTTTTCCGTTGTGCCCTATTCCTCTTCCCTCACTAGCAGGACCCCCACCACCACCACCCAGACGCTCGGATCCATCACGAGAACCCCACTACTCCCGATTGCCCTCCTCTCTCCCCCAAAGTTGATCCTTCCCCCGCCGCCACGGCCCCCAAAAATGCTTCAAAGATGAAGCCACTCCGAGAGCTCGGACGTGCCCAAGGGGTCCAGACAGCACGAGGGAGCGCAGATCAAATTCGGCAGTCGTAACCGTCTTTAGAGGAGGAGCCATGTTTTTTATTTTATTTTATTTTGTCTTTATTTTATCTTCTTTTATTGGTTCCCTTTTTCCCTCTCGAGACGACACCCTCTTCTCCACCTTCCGCCACCTTATCTCTCACCCAAAGGATCCTCGTCTCCTCAGTGCACTGGGTCCGTCATGGTTGATGTTCTTTCCGGGTGGCTGGCGGAAGGAGGGAAAGGGAGGGATGGAGAGGGGCAGCAACAGGCTGGGATGCAGGCACTAACCATCAGAAATGCCAGGGGCCATTTTCGTCCTCCCCCATTGCTACCCTAGGTTTTTTGGTTCCAATTGATCATTATTCTCGCCGCTGGCCGTCCTCCAGTTGCGCCCCCAAATCCCAGGCAGGAACGGTCCCATTGCCTACTCTCATCGGCATGCTGCTTTCTGCAGGGCAAATCACAGTCGCCACAGCCAAAAATCGCTTTCGAGGTAACCTACCCCCTTCGCACTGCAGCTCGAGAGGAAAAAGTTCTTGAAGCCCGCTGGCCCCGCTGACCAGCCATACTTTGTGGCTGGCGCGACAGTCTCTGTCCTCTCTCGTTATGGGGGCCAATTGGGGATCCGGTCATTTCTCGCCGTTGTTCTGGGGGAAATCTTGAAGCATGACGTGGTAGAATTTGAAGAGGTCGTGGCAAAAATCGGAGAGGCTGGCTGGCTCCAGGGCGTATCTAGCGCCAATGACACGCTCGCTTCTCGCTTCTCTCCTCTCTGCTCCGCGTAACTCAATCCTACATTCCCAACATCTCCACACACTCTCAGCGACCTAAGTGGACATTGATAGAGTGAGCGTGGCTTAGTAGTGGGTGCTCCGTCCGCGTCTCCCGGTCTCCGTCCCCGCCGCGCCGGCTGCGGAGCACAACGCTCCGAAATGTGGGGCTATCAGCCTTCGACCCGAAATTTCATAACTTTTCCATCCTGCCATCGTAATGCGGCCACCCGCGTCTCATAGATAGAATCCCGAGACTCATAGGCTTCCCAATGGGTAATTCACGTAACGAAGGGGAACCCATGACAACTGACAACTAAAGCCAGGAATGCCTGTGCTTCATTTTATAATCTACCGTACCGATATTGGAGACGACAAGGAAAAGCTAGTTCAAGAGAAAGAAAAAGAGAAAAGGGAAAAAAAGGAGGAATCGTACATGCTAAGAACGGTCGTCTGTTGCTTTGTTCCTCGAGGAGGACATTGCGTCTACTTTTAGGAATAGCGTCCTCTCCGGGTCCATGTGGTAGAGCAGCAATTGCTCGCACATGAAGGATTGCATGTCCTCGAAAGATTCTTTTTCCTCCTTTGTGGGAATGACCTTTTTCTTGCTCGTCAGTTTTTCCTCTGCTGCTTGCTGCCCTTCCCTGGGACTATTTCCTGGCTTTCCCGTGCAGCCTTCAATTCCATGGTATTCCTTGCTTGTAGCGGTGCAATTCTGACATCAAACCATGGAATGGTTGTTCTGATGAAGGTAGCCATCCCGATGTAGTCTCGTCTCGTCTGTCTTGCTGACGTTCTTGTTGCTTGGCTAGCGGTTGCTCCCCTTGCTGGTCTGGCTGTATTGTTTGCTGCTGGGTAGTCTCCGTAGTGTTCATCCCCCAGTTCCCGTAAGTTCCTCATGATCTTAGGAGGAAGTTGGTCACCGGCGTCTGTGACTCATATCACTAGGATATCTACCCTTGTTGGCATCGATTGCGCCCAGTTAGAGGTAGGGTCCGCTGTCCTTTCTCGGATCACTCTGCTTAGCAGCTCTGATGTTGCCTGTAGGTCCGGGTGCTGTATGTGGGATTCGTTTGCCTTTCGAGTGTCATAGAATCGGTCGACCTCTTCTGTTAGCTCCCTTAGCTCGCGTGGCCGGCTCACTGCGCTGTGCTTCGCTGTGATCCGTGCCGTAACATCAGCCTTAGGTGCCCATCCTTGTCCTCCTGTCGTTATCGTTATATTATTCGGGTTGCCAATTGCTCGAGTACTTCGTACCATCTTGTCTTGCGCGTTCCCGCTTTCTTTCCGATTGTATGTCTTGTCGATCTTTCCCATTACTCCAGCGCTTGCTGGCTCCCTTATATGTGTAATATGTGCTTGTGACGGGGATAAGGCAAAAGAGGTTCTTCCCTTCTAAGGTTGTTTTTGCTAACCGACAGCGGTTACCTTCCTTGGTCTCCCTCTCTTTGGCTTTCTTTCTCCAGCTCCTCTCTGGCTCGCACTCCTTTCTCATACTCTTCCACCATTTCTTCTGCATTCCCGAGCTCGCGAAGATGACCCGGAAGCAGGTGAAAAGGAACAGGAACTGCAGAAAGAAGGACACTCCTGCACGGGCGGTAGGAGAGGAAGAAATCCCTGACGAGCCTGAAGAACCAGAAAAGGACACGATGTTCGTCGCCATTGGAAAGCCAGAAACCTCCGACACAGAGGAACAAGGTGAGTAGTACATCTCGAAAACAGCAACACGCCAAACCCCGAGCTTCGTCATCTAGTTCCGAGTGGACGAAATAGGCAATGGGTATAGATACACGCAGGAGTGTCCCAGGTGGCTCTTTCTCCTCCGCTCTCGCTCACTCCTGCCCACCACGCCACTTCTTTTGTCTCGTCTATATGTCCTCGTCGCTGTCATCGCCCAACAGCTCTCCTTCCACATCATCCACGTCCGCATAATCACCCATTCCTCGAGCGAAGCTATCCCGTGTTGTGAACCGCCTTGGCCCCCGAGAGAACCAGCTCCTGCTCGCGCCGCCGCCGCCACCGCCACCGCCACCGCCCACCCGCTGGTACGTCGATGTCGCCGCCCGCCAGAGACTCGTCGCCACCAAGGGCAGGGCCGCTACCAACGCTACCGCCGCCGACACCGCAATGACGGGATACCTGACCCACGGCGCTTCGCTGTTGAACGCGTTTGGCTCGCCCAACCGGATCTGCCCAAACTGGCTCTTCCAGTTGCGCCACACCCACCACCCCGCAGCACCAGCCAGCGCAAACGGAATCGTGACCGCGAAGAAGATGACTACTCCAGACACCTTGTGCCGCTTCTCATACTCCTCTTCGTGACCCTTGCACGGCTGACTATTAAGCGACTTATCTAGCTCCCGTCCACCCTCGCACGTTGTCAGCGGGATTCGTCGGTATCCCGTGGGTTCGTAATACTCGGGTTCGTCGGGATGCAGCTTGCACCACTCCTCCACGGAAAGCGGGGATAGCCCCGGCACCAGCGAGCATTGCCCGCTGCCATCTAGCTCGTAGTTGTAGGCACTAAGAAGACACCATTAAGTTAGCAAGACTGGTGAGAAGAAAGCGGAGTCTGGGTGGGGTCTGGGGATTGTCGTGGCGATGCCAATGCTCATAGAGGAAGAAGGAGAGGGGGACCCAAAGTCAACGTACCACTCAAAGTCGCGTCGCGCACACTCGCAGTTCTCCACCATGAGCTCATGACGAACCCTGCCGTCGTTGTAGCACTCGCTCTTCTTGGACTTGCGCAAGTATTTGGACTTGTGGCCAAAGAGGCATCCCAATCCTCCCGAAGGGTCCTGCGGCGTCCAGGTATAGTAGTCCGATTCCTCGCAGGGCCGGGACGTGAGGCCCGAAAAGTCCAAGTTGATGGCGACCGGCTGGCCCTTGCTCTTGCTGGCCCAGAGAATGAAGTTGCGCGAGGACCCCGATCGAGGCGCCGTGATATCGTACACGACCAACTCGCCCTCGGAAAACTTGTGCTTCTTCCACGTCTCGCCTTCGTCCGTCGAGTACAGCACGTGGTCTGTCTTGACCTTTTGGTTCGCCTTCTCCAGCCGTTGCTGCACCAGCACCGTCAGGGAGCCTTGATCACCGTATTGCCACGTCCAAACGCCCTTTTGTACCTGCTTCCAGGTGATTCCGCCGTCCGTGGTCATGAACGTGTCGGCTTCCTCCAACGGCCCGAGGTGCGAACCGACGTTGCCCCACCCAAACATGAGGCCCACGGCGGTTGTCACAGAGTACGTCCTCTTCTTGTCTATCCTCTCCGTGAACCCGTGCAAGTGCAGGGCGCACGACGAGTCACCCTTGGCGCTAGAGCAGCTAAACGACTTGCCTTCGACGTCCTTGGCCGGCGGGGCCAGGTGATACCACTCGGACCCGTCGTTGTACGTCACCTTGGTCTGCAACTTTTAGCCTCGTCGCCCTTGTCGCGGTTGGCCACCGTGTTGATCACCGCCACGCCCTCCAGGCCGGGTATCTTCTCGTAGTCCACGTAGAAATCATCGTTGCAGTTGACCCCCGAGGCGCTCAGCACGTACGAGGTACCGTTGGAGTTGCTCTTGAGGATGTTTCCGTACCGTCGCCCCGCGGCCGTTTCCGTGGGGATGAACATGTTGACGGCGTGCGTGGAGCTATCCAAGATTGTGTACTCGGTGCTGTGGTCCGCTTTGAGGTTCACGGGGAACTTGGCCTGTGCAAAATTTTTGCCGTTGACGCTGGCAAACGCGACGAGGCCATCCATGCCGTCGTGCGCGGCCGCAGCAACCACAAACTCGGACATGGTCGCGTAGTTGCGGTGGGATGCTTCACCCTCGGTGCTGTCGCCAATGAGCTTGGGATTGGTCACATCCTTGGCGAAGAAGTCGTCGCTGACAAAAATTCGGTTCTCCTTGGCGTATTCGTCGTCCTGGTCCTGGGCAAGGCATATAATCTGCTTCTCAGACCTCATCTTGAAAGCGTCGCCTCCGGTGAACTCGCACTTCACTACGTGGTGCAGGATACGATCCCAATCATCGCCTCGATTCTTCGAGAGGTGCGCCTCACGGTAGCAGCTCTTGCCCGAGTCATCGCACTTTTCGACAATCGCGATGATCCAGTCTTTCTTGTTCGGGTGGAATGAGAGTTGGTTGACTTCGTCCGCGAGGGGTGCCTGAGCTTGAATGAATGGAAGTGGGCACCCCTATCGACCGTGTAGATGACCTTTTCCGAGTCGGTTGTGAAGAAGAGAACGTCGTTAAAGGTCGGGTGCGGGTAGATGCGCTTGATCTTCTGGTCCTCTAGAATCCGCTCCCACTTCTTGCCGTGATCCGAGGTGCGCCAGAGTTTGTTTTCCGCTATCATCGCGCTACCCTCGAAGCGGACCGGTCGCACGATGAGGGACTCGTCGTCACGTTGGCTGGAATCGCCGCGTTCAAGGTAAAACTTTTGGAACGTTTCAAACTCGGTCTTGAACTCATAGTGGTCCTCGACAATCTCGCCGTCGCCGGCCCCGCCAGAGGGCGGTCCTCCTCCGACAACGTCTGAGCACTTGCGCTCGACGAGATCATCCTTTGCTCGCCCTTGCCCCTCTCGCATGTGTTGCCCGGGATTTTCCGCCAGCCCGATGATCCCTTGAAAGTGTCCTCGGGTTTCTTGTTTTTGCACTGATTGTCCGAGTCAATCATTGGGCCGTCGGGGACGCATTTCTTGTCATCGTCTCTGACGAAGTTGAAGTCGCACTCGAAATCGTGGTCCGCGCATTCGCATGGTTCCTTCTTCGCAATAGCCTCCTTGAACTCCTTCTTAATAAAGCATTCGGCGTCCTTCTTGCGTCGCTGGAACGTTTGCTTGTGTCCCATGATGCAAGTAGGGTGGCCTTCGCTGTCGGCACGGGCGTGCCATTCTTCTATATCTTTGTCCCCACAAGTACGCTCATGGAGACCATCAAAATCGATGCTGACCATGTGATATTTGCCGTCACGGCTGGAATCTCTGCCGAGGAGGAGAAATTTGAGCGTCGATGAGTCCTGCGTCGTCGTGAGCCACGAAGGAACAATTTCGAGCTTGTCGGGAAGGGACACCCTCTTCCAGTTGTCACCGTGGTCGAGAGAATAGCTAAAGTCGGAAACCGTTTCTTCGCCATCGGTTGAGTGTTTTACGGCCACGAGGATCGAACCCTGATCGCCAAAATCGTACTTGTGGGGGCCGTCGAGGGCCTTTTTCCAAGATACGCCCGCATTGTCCGACACGTAGAGGTCGGCGTCGCTCAAGGACTTGAGGTGATCGCCAGTGTTACCGTTACCCATGACAAGGCCGGGGGCGGGGCTTGAGTAGACGCGGCCTAGATTCAACAGCTGCGTGACGGAGTGGAGGTGGATCCTCTTGTCCTTGGCCATAACCTTTTCAAACGTGCGGCCATCGTCGAATGTGATCTCTGTCACAACCTCCCTTCCTCTATCACTATGCTTTTGTAATTCTTCTCCGTTCTTCACAGTATTGACCAGGAAGACGCCCTGGATGCTCGAAATCTTTTCAAAATCGACGAGGCCCATTTCGTTGCGATTCGTGTACTCGACATTTTCGGTAAAGTACGTGCCGTCGGAGTTGCTCGTGAATAGGACACCCATGGGCGATGATGGGCGCGAATTCATGACGTCGATTTGGATGCTGTAGTTTGTGCTCTCCAGCACGGTGTAGGATCCCTGGTTAATGGTGTGGCCGTGGCTTTCGGGGAACATGGCCCTGTGCCACGTCTTGGTATCGGTAGAGACGTAGAGCGCCATTTCATCCGTTCGTAGCGAGGTCGTGGCTACGAGAATAAACTTCTTGACGGATGCAATGTTCACGGCGCCAATGATCCCCTTGGTGCTCCCGACGCTGGGCTCAAACTCGCCCTCCTTGCCTTGGTGGAAAAAGTTGTCCGAGATGACGAGGCGCTGGTCCTCCTTGAGCATAGTAAATCCGTCTTCGACGATGCACAGAACGCGGTTCGCATCGAGTTCGTCGTCGCCAGTGGTGAATTCGGGGGCGGATTTGGCCCACCAGCAGCCCGTGGCAAATTGTCGAAGATCCTTGGGCGGAGACTCGAACCCGTCGGTCGTGTACGTCGTCACCAAAGCACACAGGAACAGCTTGCACCGCACACCGTTGAATATGATTCTGTCCGGGTCGCCCGCGTGGAAGCTGAGCACCTCGTCGGAGATGCGCTCAGTTTCGGAAAAGGTCGCATCGGAGGCGCTGGTAAACTTGTGCCAGGTTTTGCCATTGTCGTTCGTACGGTAGTGGTCGCTCTCTCGTCCAAGGATAAAAGCGCGACTGGAGTCATATGTGTGCATGATGAGGGCAGAAGCCGCGCCGGCGGGCACGCCCTCAATCTTATGCCAGGTGGTTCCCGCATCGACGGAGCGGTAGACGACTCGCTCGATAGGGTCGTGGAAGAGGACATCGTCGGAGCCACGGAAGTATCGGAGGCTTCTAGGAGGATTCTCGAAACTCGAAACGCTCATCGTCGGTGTATCTGATTTCGCAAAGGCCGCCGTCCACAAAAGGGACGACAGCAGGAGACTGCGCCATGAGGCAGCAGCCTTGCCTCGAAACCTCATGGCTGGGTCTTGGAGATGCCGTTCTTGTTCATCAAGCGTTAAGAAAATGATGGCCTAGCAGTGAGATGGAGGCTCGATTAAATTGATTGAAATGAAGGTGTGATGTCGGATGGTTGGAGAGATGACATTTGTGAAGATGTCAACGCAGAGAGATTATTACTGACTTGAAGGTTGATGAACAGCCTGCAACTTCCAGCTCAGCAACGTCAGCCCAATCCCAAGCCGGGAAGGGAGGCGAAGTACCTCTACGCGGATAGCGAGGTGGTTTGAGTGGGGGATTGTAGATGATTGGCTGGAAGCGGAGTACCGCTACAGTCGTTGGATAACGCCTTACTACCGGCCCACCGTTCGGTTCCACTATTAATAGATACAAGGTACTAGTGTCAAAAGGCACTTCCTGACACATACTTCAGTGCTGCCTCGCCGCCACGTAACCACGTAACCACTTGCGCAAAAAGAGCCACCACCATTGAATTTCTTGCCCGAACGAGAAGGGTGAGAATGGATGCGGGAATGAAGGCACACATAGTTTCTATTCGAAGAGAGGGCAACGAATAAATGGACCGCCAACGTTATGCACCACTAGATTCTATCCTCGGGACCCCATTCCTAGTAGTTGAAGCCGGTCACGTTCCTTTTGCCAGTAGTTGAACGTTTGTTGAAGCTGCACTCTTGACCTTCAAGTACTTCGAAGCCCCACTCAAGGTCGTCGCCGCGCAAGCAGCCTATCAGAGAGCGTCCGGACCTGAGGAGTCTCACCAAGGTTGCGCCTCTCAAGATTTGAGGCGGGGAAAAAGCACAACCAAGTCAACATCACTCTTCTCAAAAGGCGACAGCCAGAGGTAGATATAGTAAGAAACTTGACAGAAGAAGCTATGGTAGAATACTGTTTCCTCAAGCATATCATCATCAGCATACAGAATAGTCGGAGTTAAGACTCCAGCGCCATCACTACGATTCGGCCAACACTGTCCTGGCCTTCACTCTTTTTGTTTTTGTTGTTGTTCTTTGGGAAAGGGGAGGGTGTTATTGTGCGGAACCAGACCTTGCCGTAACAGAAACCGTTTTTGAGTCGTGCGCCAACTCCCTCTCTTCATCTTTGATAGACAACCTCGTGATCATGCAGGTAGTAGGGTCAGGCTCATTCTCCCTCGGGAAGGAGCCAGTCGCGGACAGTGCCCTTCTTTCCGCCCATGCCATCTCCGCCAATGTGGATTTTCTTCTCGGTAGCCCGATCAGCGCCAGGGCCAGTCTTTCTCGATCCCATACCGTCACCAGCAATCACAATTCCCCTGTTCTGAAGTTTCCGGCCGGGTGCGGGGGCAGTTTCGCGCAGGTTCTCGTTCTGGCGCGGCGGGGGCACGTCCACCGCAGCCCAGTTAGCCTCCATCATCTTCACCGCCTTCTTACGGTCCTCGCTAACTTTTCGTGGCTGGGGAGTTAGCTCGTCCTCGGGCTCATCCGTCATGGTAAACTGAGCATCAAACGTCTTCTTTCGGTCCCTCAGGCTGGTGTTGGTAATGTTCCCAAGCGCGGCCTGTCCGGAGCCAGCCATAACCGCCTCACCATCTTCGCTGTATTCAAAGTGGTGCTGGGCATCCCGACGGCCCTTTGCGGGCCCCTACGACCATGGGCTTGGTTCTCCTCCTCCGCCTCCTCGTCCACAGGGCGGGAATCATTGCGGCGAATTCCTCGAGTGGGGACGGATTTCTGCGGGGTTACAAAATCATCAAAGGACCAAGAGCTGTCGTGCTTAGATCTAGACCTGCTCCTATCACCACCAGGGGTGCCAGCTCCCACATCCTCCTCCGCGCCCCGGCTGTCATCCCCGTCAAAATCGAAGTGCTGGAATCGTTTGGGGTTCGGGCGATAAAACCGGTCATTCTTGGGCTTGGCATCGGGCGAATCCTGCTCTGCCTCGTCCACCTCGAACAAACGGCTTGGTTGGAAGTTCTTGCTCGAGCCAGCCTTGGGAGCAATGTGCTGAGTCTGGGAGCGCGAGCGCTCTCGGCCGTCCTCCTCCTCTTCTTGCTCCTCCGTATCGAACAATCGATTAGGTTGGAATTTCTTGCTCGAGCCAATCTTAGGGGCGATAGGTCGAGACAAATGCGAGCGGCCTCGTCCATCTTCTTCTTCCTCTTCCTCCGTTTCAAAGAGCCGGCTGGGCTGAAACTTTTGCTGGAGCCGATCTTAGGAGCGATGACCTTGCTTGGCGACTGCGAACGGCCCCGGCTTGGGGATCCGTCATCCTCGTCATAGGGTTCGTCGCCCAAGATCTCGTTGAAAGATCGCTCGCGAGGCCTTGTGCCCGCATAAGGCGAAATGACCTTTGTCGCGGCGGCATCTGCGGCGGGATCCCGGGAGCCGAAAATTTCAAGAGAAGCGTAGGGGTCACGAAGTGCGTTGGTCGAGTTGCCCCGCGAGCGGTGGGGCAGTTCGGCGGATGCGGTGGTCGCCTGAGAGCCGCCTGATAGGCATGTAGTGATTGCCTTGATCTGCTCACTACCATCGCGGATGGGCCAGTTCCGACCCGTCTTGCCAATAACCTCGATTTGCTTTAGAAGCGCGCCTTGGTCCCAGCTCTGCCGGATCTGAGCAATTTTGCCCTGGTCATCAAAGGCCACGATATGCATCTAGAAGCACACGCAGCAATCAGCATCTAAAAGGGAAACATAGAAATCGGGATGAAATGAGGGAGAGGGTGAGAAGGGAACGAGGGGGCCACATTTGCGCAAACCGATCGCAAATGGCACCGTAGATAGTCAAAGGACATTAAGGGGAATTGGAAGGGCCATACAATTGGAAGGTGGACCTCGCGATCAGCGAGAAAGTTGTCATCTAGGCCGGGAAGGTACGGCCCTCCGCTCAACACAAAGGTGATGGTTGTCTTGGTCTGGATAGCAGTGGCATTGCGACCCTCAATAACATCGAGGAAATCCTCAGCGCCCTTCTTGATCTGATTGCGCAGCGTGTTAAGGTGCTTTATGATATCAGTGGCGCCTCGAATAGTCGTCGTTGTTGTGATATAATGCAGACTGGCATTCGCCGCAAGGAGCGACGAATTGGGCGAGGCCAGGAACTGCCTGTATGTTGAAGCCATCGGGTCGTGTATCCAAGGGAACCGACGCTCTCCTCTGTTTTGTTTTGCGACAAGGGCTTGCGTTGCGGAATGGAGGGCAAGTTCGAGAACAAGGTGGGGCAGGTTCGCGATAGTTGCGAAGGATTGAGATTCTCAGAGGGGAAAGGAAAGAAGGTGGTTGCGTGTTCTGATCTCTCGGCCAGGAACAGTCGTGATGTTGTCGGAGAAATTGAAAAAGGGCCTCGGGACGGTTAATGGCCACGAAGGGGGAGGAGCCGGGACAAACAAAAGATGGAGGTGGGATGAGATGAAAGGGGGACGAGACGAAGCTGCTTCTTGTGGGTTGTGTGGGGACGTGTGGGAGCCGTTGACGGGGTTCATACTGCGGCAGGAGCACCTGAGCTGGAGAGTACATACAAAACAAAACAAACCCTCCATGCCAGTTGAGGCGACTCGGGAGGAGCCAGTCCCTGCAGGATGGAACAAAGCACCCTGAGTACCTCCACTTCACCCCCTGCGATCAGAGCACACTGTCTTCTCGAGACCTGAGAGTATTAATACGGGGCATTCTCCATTTGATTCTTCTTCGAGGGCCGGATGTTGTGGTCTGCGCCACGATTACCACGGATACCGGTACCAAAATGCCCGTTCGATTGAATCCGGGAGAGCATGGCGAAAGTTGGCAGCGGAGAGTTCAAGGGATCAATGCTTTTCACTCAAACAAACAAAGAAGCGCAGATTTCACGTAGATACATTGAACCCTTCCCCGTTCCCAAACTCTTGGGCAAGTTCCGCCAGGCACGACAAACGCAAGAAAGGATATTTTGTGCAATGCAGCCAGGGATCCTACTCTTGACACTCCAACACTCCAATGGAATAGAATATGCTTCGTACGTTCGCATTAATACTATTAAGATTATTTGAGAAGCGTCCACTCCTGGTGTTGGTTGTTTCTCCACACTAGTCGTCCTCATTTTACAGGCAACCCTGCTCAATGCTTGTCCCCGTCGCCGAGACAAAATCGACAAGGCTCTCCGCATTGGCCGGACGAACCTCCTTTGCTGAAGGGTTCCTGTGAGGTTAGTAGGTGGCCTTTGTCCCCCCTCTTTGCTTCAGAACGAAATAACACGACATTGGCGTGAGTGTCGGTGTCGCGTTCGCAAGGGCGTAAATAAATATTGACTTAGCTGCAGGTACCAGGTGCTTTGGGACTGGCCAACCAAGTAACGCCGCGAGGTGCACCGGGTCATTTTTAAAAATTGAGATGCATCCAATGCATGAAATCCCTCTTGAGGATAATAATCACCGTCTTGGGAGAGAGGCCAGGCTCCGATGGCCCCAATATATGCGCGAAGCCGCGACGAAGAGCGTGTGCCTTTGGAAGCTTTAAAAGAACAAAGCTAGTAACGTCTCGCTCCTTCTCTGGAGATTTTCCCCTTCTATTTTTGACCCTAGCGTAATATTGGGAGTCAGTGCAAAAGAGGACCGGGACGACTGCGACCGAGCCGGGGTAGCCTAGCGGTTTCACATTATGCCAGGAATGAACGCCACGAATGACTTGAACCTCGAGCCCCACTATCATTTTGGGAGGGGCCTTGGACTTTTTGTCCACTCTTCGGACGCAAGCTGCTGAATGCCTCAGCGTTGAAAGGAACCTGGAATTTCTAACTTGTATTCTTACAGACGTCAAGATAAGGCGGTCGAGAGAAAAAGACCTCCCTCATAAATCGTACTCCTATCATAGCCATTGAAAAGGCTCATAAAGATGAAGAAGAAAAAGAACTCATATAAATAAGATAGTATGTCGGTATGAAGCCATCGAGATGCACACATATCAGTTGCACCCGTGCCGATAATAGTAGAAATTTTCCCATCTCGTCTCATCTCAAGGCGGCCTAGTTGACGGCCTGAGAGAGATGGTATTAGCAGAGGAATTTGTAAACCTTCTTCCAACGCGGCCACGCCTTCCGTTCTTCAGCTTCCTCGCCACCAACAATGGCAAGCTAAACTCTCTCCTACCAGTATCGACGTCGAGGTCTTCGATCCGCACAACGCTAGTCCAATAATATATCTTGTGGAATATGTAGAAGCTGCACACAATTGGTGCCGCCAGATATTTGAGGAAGAAACTCTCGGCGAGATCCCGAGCGGACATGTCTCTCCAACCTATGGGGAACGCGCCTACCCAAAACTGGGCAACCAGCACGATGATATTCATGGCAAGGCCAACGTAGGAACCCGCGACACCAGCCTGGCTGCGGAAGGCGAGGTCTTCGACTTTGCGGCCCTTTGCGCCCACGCCTTGCGGAAGCGTATATGGCAGAGGCAGATGGAGCCCCAGGTAAAGATGGACGACAGGCCCGACGAAGCTAGGAGCCAGTCGAGCACGGCGTCCTGGTTGTCCACCTCTGCAATATACGACAATAACCCAATAGTACCGGCGATGAGGATCGCGATCAAGGGCCTTCCCTTGTGGTCTATGTAAGCGAGGAAGGCCGGGGCGTGGTTTTGATCCGCCAGCGCGGCGAGCGTACGGGAGGAGCCGAAGACGGCCGAGTTTCCTACCGATAGGACGGCGATCAGGATGACGGCATTCATGACGGATGGGAGTACGGAGATTTTGGCATTCTCAATCGCAATGACAAACGGCGACGCGTTGGCCGTGAGTCTCTGTGTGGAGTCTTCCGTCCCCTCGGAGAGGAGTCTCGGTTCATTGTACGGCACCAAGAGGCCGACGAGGGTCAAGGCTACGATGTAAAACAAGGTGAGCCGCCAAAAGACTTGCTTCACGGCGGTAGGCAGGGATTTTCTAGGGTTGGCCGTTTCCGCGGCTGCTAGACCAACCAGCTCGGTGCCCGCAAACGAAAAGGCAGCGGTGACGAAGACGCTACAGAGCCCTTTGAAGCCGTTGTTGAAGGCCCCGGGCTCCTGCCAGAATCGGCCGCCGATATACCCTCCTCCCGGGTAACCCCGCAGTTGATGACGATCCCTAGTAGGCTTTGGGTTTGGAGCAGCTTAGGGTCAGTCTCATTTACTCTATATTCATGGGGGTAATCATGCTAGAAGAGGGGGAATTCGAGGTGCTTACATGAAAGCTATCACGGCAATCACCTTCACCATAGCGAATGTAAACTCAACTTCACCGTAGCCCCGAACACCAGATAGGTTAGACGCCATCACGATGAAGAGGAAGAGCGTGACAAAGCCCGCCTTCTCGATTTCCGAGTTCCAGTATGTAAGGGTTATGGATGCGGCAACGATCTCCAGTGGGAGTATTATGAGCCATTGTAGAGCATAGCTAGATAGCAAGAGAAAAAAAGAGGGGTCTTGTTAGCATTGCGACTCTAGGGGACGGCGGCAGGTTGAATCGGGAAGACGAGATGGAAGACGAAAGGAACCTACTTCCAGCCCATGGCAAAGCCCCATGAAGGGTCTAGGAAGCGCGTAGAGTATGCCGAGAACGAGCCAGCCACGGGAAAGCCACGGCAAGCTCGGCTAGAGCTTGGGTGGTGCAGTAGAGCATGATGCCGATCAGCGAAAAGGCAATAAGTAAAGATGCGGGGCCACCATGGTTGAGGGCCTGTCCTGACGCGACAAAGAGGCCAGTACCTATGTCAAGAAGGAGTCCGTCAGTATTGTTTGCTCGCAAAACGGAGATCTAAACCTTAACAAGCAAAAGTAAAGAGACCATCAAGGGGTGTGGGTAGTTTGAGGCGCGAACGCACCTATGGAGCCTCCGATAGCAATCATTTGGAGATGTCTGCCCTTCAGCTCGCGGGCTAGACCCGAGTGGGCCGTCTGGAGGGTAGCTTGGTGGATATCGTAGTAGCGGACACCGGTATGGTTGGCCCTTCCGGCCTCGGCTCGCGCGGCAGCTTCCTCCTTGGGGTCGAGGGGGTTACACGCCGGCTCGGATCTCGCCTGAAGCTGTTCAAAAAGCGGGACGTGATACCCTCGGGTGGTACATCATCGTAGATGGGTTCCCGCATCGTATAACTGCTCCCCTGAGCTACCGAGTCCTCGCGCATCTTGAGGGTCGACATCTCGATATTAGAGCCCAGCGGCGCCATGGTGACATGTTACGCGGGCGACGAGAGGGCATTCGCGAAGAGCAAAAGAAGGGGGAAACGAAAGGCCGTTCGGAGTACACAAGCGTTGGAGACGGGGGCAAGAGATCACTGTCGGCGGCGGAACCCAGTAGTCGGGGTCTGCGGTCTGCGGTGAGGGGGCGAGAAGGCCGGTGCGACGATGGCGGGGCGGTCGACGAGCTGCGGCGCAGTTTCGCAAGAGCGCTGTCGACGTCTTAGAATGCGCGCCGAAGCCGACTCACAGCCGGCATGGCCTGCAGACGAGGCGGGAAGCGCCAGTAAACAAAGGAGGTGTGCGATGTGGTCGCAAGCCACTGGAGAGCCTTTTTTTTTTTTTTTTTTGGTCTCCTCCGATTTGGTCTAGAACAAGGAGCGATGCTGAACACCGAAAAGAGCGGACAGAGCTCGTCACGCGACGTTGTTCGAATTCGATTTGTCAGGTTCGGTATTCGAATGATGAGGCTAGGCCTTAAATAGGCTCTCGGAGTACGTTAAGTCGGAAGAGGGCTTTCAAAGAAAGACGTCGAGGTTTCCTTGAAGCTTAGAAGACCGTGGAGATTAACCTGGAAAATAAAATATAAAAAAATAAAAAGAGGAGAAAACGCCGTGCAAGGGTAGGAAAAGGGCGAGGGAATGGGAGGCGTCAAGCCTTAATGGCTTAGTCGCGTGGTGGGGAGAGAGTAGCAAGGAGCTAGGTTCGGTCTAAAATGAATGTGACGGTAGACGTTGCTTCGAGAAGTGGTGATGCAATCCAAGAACCAACGCCTACTCGGGCCCAGACCCAAGAGCACTAGATAGAGGGCTGGGAATAATCACGTCGATCATTGATGGGAGACTCAGCCTATACGTGGTGGGAGAAAGGGTACATCTAGCCTACTCTATTTACATGGCGGACCAAAGGTACCTGCGGCAAAGGAGCGGGAACGGAATGTTGGGGTTAGGTTGTTTGGTCAATAGCAGGGAACCTTGAAGAGCTCCGAGAAGCAGAGAGGCTGAGGGGTGGCGGACTGCGCTTATCACGGCGGAATGGATGGGCCATCAATGCAAGAGGTCGATGGGCCGAGAGACCTGAGCGGCAAGGCGGTATCGTTGCCGTTGTACCCTTTGTTCGAAGCCGCCGACAAATGGCGGGATAAAGAGGCGCGAAGATACTTTTGCTCGCCGAGGCGGAACACATCATCGATGCAGTGTTTACATCTAATGGTAGATGGATGTACGAGTAATACTCGTTGGATCCGGGGCTCTTATCTCAACGTCTAACTTTTGCTGTCGCCGTTCCCTCTGTGCTCCCATCACACCCCGAAAAAGGTAATCTCAGACCGCCTCCAAGTAGCCGGGAGCGCTTGGATATTGTCCCTCGACCCCCACACGCCCGTCGACTTTCCTGATTTGGCCAAGACCACGGATGCACTGAGCAGCAGTGCTGCTGCAGCCAGCATCGGCCTGGATAAGGAGTCGAATGTGGGAGCATCATTTCATTTCGTATCGACCTGGATAAGGAGTCGAATGTAGGAGCATCATTTCATTTCGTATCGACCTGGAGTGTGCAGTGCAGAGTGGTTGTCAGGCCGTCTTGTCATGCGGTCGCAGACTCGCTCGTGTGCGATTCACCCCTTGCCAGAAATACAATTGATCAATAAACGGTATTTGGCCAGGCCTGTTGAGAAGAACGCCGACGGATACCGGCCACCGAGCTGGCTTTATCCCGATGCTGGAGGAAAGCTCGACTTGGCTCCGCAGACTAGATCTATTCTTCACACATCGCAGTCCGCTTTTAAGCCCCACATGGTCGCCGTTCGCAGTTGCCAAATGCGCCCGGTGTGCGGTGTGTCGCGGGATATCTCGTTCCCCTAACCCGCAAGAGGTGAGGAAGGAGAGAAATAAGAACCGTAGCATTTAAACACGGGCGCTCATGATCAATTTGATGTCAATTTCTATGCAAGCCCACGGGGTAGAAAGACCTCCAAACCCACCATGGACTCATTTATACAGATAATTCTTGGCCTGATATCCATCGATCTCGTAGATAATGTGGCTCCTCCCTACCTCTCCCTTGAATAGCTACCAGCCATCGCTTGACCGGGAACCTCTTTAGGAGCATCGTCTCGAGAAACGGTGATTCAATACCACAGACCCAGCACTGTGTCCAATGAGCGCGCCATTCCGAGGGAACTCGCCTTGACATACGCCTTCGCCCAGAACATTGCCTGCCCAAGGAGGATCATTGATTGATCCAACAAGCCAAATGGATTGAGCCCGCGGAGACGTACCCATGCCCATGAGCCAGCTGCGGGGCCACAAGACTCTCTCTTTGGCATTTCCCCCTCTTTGTCCCCAGGCTCAACCTCGACACCTTAGCGTTCTCCACAAGTTCCCACGCTTCAATGACAGGGCATTTTTGGCTAGACCGAGTGCCGAATCATACCGGCTTTGGCGTCCACCGGCTTCTAGTGGCGTCATCGTCCGTTCCTGCCCCCGATCAAAACCTACGACACGACAACCCAGGCGAAACAGGGACCCAAAGGACGTCCGTTGTGGGGCTCTCTCCACCGGCGACGAGAGATTTCCCACGCTGTAGACTGGATGGACACAGCCCGTGCACCGTCTTTTCCCGATCACCATTAGCATTAGGCCCCGAGACGATTTTCACGAGATGCTCCATTGTGGCACACTCCGCTTCTAACCCCGCCGATATCGTGAGCCTGGCGTTTGAAAGCTTCTCGTCGCATCTGAGGAGAGTCGGGCCACCCAGTCACGGAAGGGACCTACCCCGACATCGCGCCACACATTCAAACGCCACATTCTCCAAACCACCTCCAGAAGAGCCATGCTGACCACTCTGCATATGTCTCTCGCTCCGCAAGTTGAAAGGAATGAAAAAGAGAGTGCAGGACGACTCTGTGCACGTCGGGGAAAATGATTGGTTCACCCACAAGTCTCAGTTCAGACTCCCGTATTGCATTTCAGCATCTTCAGTATTGGCTCATTGGAACTCCTGATCGGCGCCCGCAGCCTCTCGACGAGAGATTTACGTATCCGTCCCCTCCTCCGTCGCCATGATTTGGACATCTTGGCAGGTTGTCTTCCTAGCCCCTGGAGCAAAACTGCCAGTCTTGACGCTCATGCAAGAAACTTAGCAGCTCTGCCACGTCTTACCATGGCCCGCGAGTACCCGTTGAACGAGTTTCTTCGGTCATGGAGGCAGGCGGGGGCAAAAAAGTAGGATATATGTACTTCGTAGATGTGGTCGGGGTCGATGAAGGCGCTCCGGCGTCCAACTCCCAAAGTGCAATCTGCCCTTTTCTCTCCGCCTCCACCTTTTGAGGCTATCTACTTGTCCCTCGGCAGAGATGCAAGAGAGAACATTGAAAGAGGAAGAGCCCAGCAATGGGGTGCGATTCAACGGGTCACAGGGCTCTCACATTCCAAACCCCTCATCTCCTAGTCTCACCCTGCAGTCCGCCATGCGTTTGACACGTCAGTGATATATATTAGTAGTTCAGGATTATTGGCACATCTCATGGACGCCGGTACCCTCCAAAGTCAGCCACGCACTAATCAGAGGGCGAGAGACTGTGCGTGCTCTGCGGCTTGACAACCGAATCAGCCACGGATTCAATCATACGTCGACGACCTTGGCCGGCTCATTCGCAACAGGATATGGGGTGCAAGTCCGAACCCCTCTCAATGAGAAAGAATCACGTACAATGGGAAAGAATCCCAGAGAATTCATAGCCCGGTGGTTTATCTGTACTCCAACGGACAATCCTCGAGCATCTTCCATGGTACACGCGGGGAGGAAACCGCCGCTCGTGGCCGGTTTCCGCTCGGCCAGGTCTAGGGTAATACCAAGCCCTAAAATGTCTCACCGGGGATGAGCCAGTCAGAAGCGCCGCCGCCCAGAACGGACCGCCGTTCTTTTTTTAATATTTTTCTAGCCACCTTCAGGCTCTTTATGATGGATGTTCGGTTTGAGAATGGCCATTGACTGAATGGACTCATTGAAACGAACATCTGAGACAAGGTGAACGCAACGGGACAGGCGTGGGTCGCCAGCCTGGTCCATTCATGTTGAACGCACCACCATAGAGCCAACAATGCAGTTTTAGTTGAATCTTCGTGCATGGGCTCCTGTCCTGTTCCCGGGCAGCAGAACATTGAACTCGCCCATCGTTGGCCAGGCCAGACCAGACCTGCAGCGAGACTGGCCTCCAATTTTTGCACCCAGCGCTTGCCCATCCACCCCGTTCCTCCCTAGTCCGTGGGGATCTCGCGTCTGATTGCATCGTCAAATGGGCGTGCATAAAATTTCTGCCCAATTCAACTCTCTCGATGGTTCGACTGATGTTCGCCCCCCGCCTGCCCTAAACAGTCCATCTATCCTTTTTCTGCTTGGCTATTTCCCTTTCCCCCTCCTCCTGCTTCGATCACTCGAGCATTGTAACACCATCCCTCTCTCGCCAGCTCTTCTCCCTCTTCCCGGTCTTTCGAACTGAAGAAGTAGAAGCAGTCAACACAAGAGTACAAGAAAGGAAGAAATCCGAAGAAACCAAAAATTTATGAGCCGAGAAAACTAGAGGAAAAGAAAGGGCTCTAAAAACCTGCCGAGTGGTGGCAGCACTGTTCCAAGTATAACGACAACCAAACGCCTCTAAGAGCATCGTGGTCGCCTCTGGACATATCTGCCGGCGGCTTCGACAACGAGCAAAGATCGAGGTGGGGGTTTTGTGGTACACAGCTTGAATACCGTTCAACCACTCTCAACGAAACATCAATCTTGACCTGAAGTCTTCCCACCAGGGAGATTTTCCTGCGTTTTCCGAAATCATGAAGGTTCTACCACTCTAGACTCTTGAACCCGCGACTCGACCTTGTCCTATTTCTTCTTGCCTGCCGTCTACTTTTGTCTGTTTTCGTCACCACTTGCAGTCTCCCAAGGGCTTGAGACGGCGGAACCCACGTCGGATCGGAGCTCACCCTCAATCCCGTGCTTCTTCTTAGGAACACCGAAGAGCACCAAACGAAACCAACATATTCTCTACACAGAGAAAGAACCAGACCGCCCAAGGAAGCCATGTATCACCCACCGGAGCAGCCCGGCATCATTGATGGCCGCCTTCTCCACGCCTGTTTCCGGGAGTCGGAGAGATGCGAGATGGTCAGCTTGAGCCTCGAAGGGCTCCGCAATGCATTGGTGGAGAGCTTCCATGCCCACATGACGGCACTCGCGGAGGAGATCCGGTCTTCCGGTTCCATCATCCGGGGTCTCGCTGATCGGTCCCAAGTTCATCACCAACGAGCGCCAATTGTGTTGCAGTATCTTGATGTCATCATCCCTTGTCTCTCCCGGTCACTGCACGATATCAACGGCTACATTGAGGATAGGACATCTTCCAAGGAGATTAGGTGGCGCAGGATGTACAACAAGATGACGGAAGAGAGCGGTGGGATTCCCTCCCGCAGAGATTCGTCCTCTACAACAACTATCTAAAGTTGCTCTACCACCTCCTCACTAGGTAAGGCCTGCAAGACCCATAGGGCTTTTTTTTTTTTTTTTTTCTCCCAAACGAGTATACCCCACTACGTCAGATCGAGGCTTACACGAATGGGCCTTCTAGGAACCCAAATTTTGATCTTAATACGTTGGAGTTGTTGCGCAACCGCATCATAGAGCTCCGTGAGAAGCGCGGCATTCGTGAGTTGGCCAACAGCCTCCCAAGCCCTAATATAACAAAATCCCACATGCTAACGGGTTCATCGGAAAGCCATGCCACCTGCTCCCTCCGGACCCCTCGTCAGATCGGAAATGGCGCTCGTCCCCATGATCCCTGAGCCTGTAAGTGTGACTCTTTGGCCCGGTCCTCAACTTGATTTTCCACCCGTTGTTCATGTTTGGTGATATTCATCATTGATGGTATCAACGCGGGGCTCTACTGTGATTTCTAACCTTCGCTCTAGGATGCGCACTGGTCGGAGCAGATCTTTTCCCTGCCTTTACCCTCACGGACAACTTTGAAGAACCATCGGCGGTAAGGATTACCTACCCCGGCCTCATCGGCCCACGGCCCCCAATGTTGTGCTTACAAGTATATTGATTGCTAACATTTCGCAACCTCGCCTTGGCAGATCCAAGTCTTATGGACCTCATCAACAAGCATCACAACCGCCTCTCCCTCCAGGCTCGACTATTCTGTTTCGCAGGTATGCCTTCCCCTTACTCCGAATACTTTTGTTTGTAAAAGCATTTGGCCCTGACTGACTTACGTTTCGGGGTTTTAGAAAATTCGACAATGATTCTCTCGCGCTCATCGCCTATCTCAACCCCGCGAACAAGGCACCATATCTCATAATGCAAACCTACCACATGGGCTCGCAGTGGTTCTCCACCCGAGGGGTCCACGAACTTTGCATCCAGCGCAACCAAGGCGCCGTGGAGCTGCGGCGATGGAGTCGTTCTGAAGGGGTGGCCAAGTTATGGGCCACCCTTCACTTCATCACTTGGGAAGGTATGCCAAAACCACTCTCCTCCCCTCCACTGCATAGGTGCATAGGCGCGCGATTTTGGAACCCTCCTTTTCTTTTCGGCTTTTATATATGGCCTTGATTTTTGTCTTGGCAAAACTAACTATTAGCCTTTAGAAATGGTTCTCTTTATTGCTCTTTCGCAGCCCTCAAAGCGCAAAACACATTGACGCTGGAGGTTGAGCCTGATGAGTACATTTTGAAAAGCGAGCGGCGTCTTTTCCAAGCGTAAGTTGCCGCAGAACAACCATCTTCAAATCAGCATCCTCCTAGCCAGCGTTTATCTATAATAGCAGATCTAACTTATTTTGAATACAGACAAATCATCGACGACGGTTACAAGCACTCGCTAATTGTGTACGAAGACACAGCGAGCAAGGGCATGAGGCTGCATGCTGCGGTCTGGGAAGGCGAGCTTCAGCAATGTCCAGTGTGGACTGCCTTCAGTGAGTTTGAGATTCCAGAACCCTCCATCGTCCTCGCGAGTTCCTCTTCCACCGCTGCTTGCAGGACGTCTCGTTGTAGGAAATCTGCAAGGACAATTCACTGACGTTCCCGGTTATTAGTCACGCATCAATGCAACTCGCCAACGTGGGTGGTAAAGAAGACGAAGCACCAGGTTTGGCTCAGGGAAGTCCAACTCTACGTTTTTTGCCAGACCTATCGCCAGCATAAGCAGCGGAAGAACCGAGAGGGTGCATTTGAACTCAACTTTATCAACGAGAAGGGTAAGATACCAATGACACTCTTTCCTCTCGCCTCGCTGCCGCTTTCTCTCCAGTCCCTCATGGGGAGGAACTGTAAATTCTTTACTAACGATTCCTTTCGTTCCTGTCTCTTAGCTGCCTCCAAATTCCGAGATCTCTTTACCCGGCGCCTTCCTCGCCGACGAGTCATACCGATTCGGAAACTAATGGCGAGGCATCTCGATGATCGTCACCCTTTAATCTTTCATCAGCTTCTTGTTTTCTGGAAATCATGAAGAGTCCGCAACAGGAGAATATCTCTTGCCCCGACCTGAACCATGGTCATGTTGACCACATTGAAAATGGTGGCCTGAGAGAAGTGCGCTTCTCGACCGTAGCACGACCACTGGCCTCCTTTTTCCTCTTCTTTGTCTTTTTTCTCTCCTTGACCCTGCCCCCTTTGTTCTTTTATCGACTCGACTCAGCTCAGCCCAATAATTACGATGGCAGCGTGGGCGCACCGGACGCCTTTTTTCCTTTGTTAGCTAATGCTTATGGATCCACGAAGCTTATGCCCCCTTACGAAGTTAGATATGGATGAGACTGTCACTCTCGAGAGCGCTGGTCATACCTCGGCGCTAAATGTATGGGAAGGGAATGTTTGATTTTGTTTTGCTTCCTTTGTTTCGTTTCCCGCTCCCCCAATGTCTTGTTCCAGCCTTGTTACTCTTGGGAAGGATGCGCCCCTTTTCTTTTCTTTTTGTCTTTACTTTTGATAACGAATGTTAAGCGTGGTTCTACACGAAAGAATGCTTCAAGTCCACGGACGGAGAAGGAGTTTGCACAGGCAAATATGGCAAGAATGTACTCAGTTTAGTCGGAAGAGTGAAATGGAAAACGCTTAGCGAACTTGTGAAAATAACAAACGATCCTATACTCAAGTTTCTGCGCCTTCTGATGTTGTATGGCGACGCTGATACGACATCAGACCCGTCATGCCTGTCACCCCGAGAAGGGCCCCGAGGATCATCAAGCCCCATATTAATGAAGAACGGGCGTGTATCCTAGCGAGTTGCTTGGCAAAAACTACTCAAAAGTTTTGGGAGGCGAGAGAGAGACGGGGAAAATGCCTTGCACGAAAGGGAAAAATAAGACAGTATAAACGCCATTTGCCTCCGCTAGAGAAAAGAAAAAGAGAGGAAAAAACGCCCAGTCAATATCAAAACGATGCGTACACAAACAGGAGCGGCAAAAAACAACAACGGGGTATGGACGCAGATACGGCTCCTGGATGTTTTCTCGAGAGCGCATGAGGCTACTCGTAATGGGGAGACTGGGTCCCGGCGACTAGTAAACTGTTGGCGAAAACAGAAAAATACCTGGACCTCTTGTAACAAGGGTCCATGGTATGGTGGAGAGGGGCTAGATCGATAGATAGAAAGAGGGAAGGAGAAGAGGGTAGTAGAGGTTTCTAGTAAGAAGCCAAGGTGATCAAGTCCTCGATAGCGTAGATGCGCGCACCATGCCTAGATCAACATGCTTGGGCGTCTCGATCCCATGCTCCTTATCATGGCGGCTAGTGGGAGGGGTGCCCATGTCGGAGAGCGCGGTGCGAAGGCGGGTGCGCAGGCGACGTCGCTCTGCCTTATCGGCCGAGGTGGCGTCGGCGGCGGGCAGCGCAGGCTTCACGAAGGAGGCCTCGGTGGACTGAGAGGAGATGGAGGCTGCGTCAGAGGCCATGGCGACGGGTCGTCTTTGGGTCGGGGGTTACTGTCTTTGTTTGGCGCGGGGTGGTGTCGATCTTGTGTGTATGTTTATTTCCCTTTCGGTATTTTTCGGTGAAGGGCTTCCGTGATCTTGAGAAAAGGAGGCGCGGGTTGACAGCGGGATTGAAGGGGAGAGGGAGTGGGGGTGTCTTGTTGTCGACGTCGAGAAGAGGAGGGGCGGAGGAGGGTGCGCGATAGATAAAGCGTCGGCTGGGCTGGGCTAGGAATGACGACGGCGGCGGAAAATCTGGTTGAGGGGCGGAAGAAAGCCGTCGGGTTTGTTCGCAAAGGGCGGGAATCAGCGGTAGAAGAAAAAAAAAGACCAACTACAAGTCGGACTAATCGAGTGCTTGTGTTCAAGATTCCGAGGGTTGTGGGATGGTAGATATGTAGTGGGTAGGGAGAGAAGAAGAAGAGGGGAAGCCAAGACTCTCAAGATCTCGACTTCTCCCTTTTCAACGTTCCTTTTAATGGCATTTGATGCTGGGAACAATTGATTGATCCAGTGTCTGGTGCCACCGCCGCTTTGCTCCGGGTTTGGGCTGGGTTGGGTTAGCTCAATCGCTGACTGGGCTGACTGGGTTGGCTGGCCCTGTGCTCTGTGCCCCGGGTGCTGGGTGCTGGATCCGCGCTGGGTGCTGAGTTGCGGGGGCGGGGAGGCTCAATTGATCCTAGGAGCACATTCGCCGATTGTTGATGGATATTGCGAGCACTGCACTGCACGGTTGATCAGCGCCGCATGGCCAGGCCCTACGGACTAGGCCGGGCTGGGCAGGATCGACTAAATTTCCAGTGGGCTGGGTAATCGCGCCTGGATCGACAAAAAACCCATCACCTCTGGTGTTATCCAATGTATCGGTGTTGCGCTCGACTGCTCCATCGCGATATTAGCTGGCCACCCCACCTCGTTTGAGCTGGGGCGCACAACTCGGTCTAGAACTTTAGCCATTCCCTAATAAGGGAACAAGCGATGATCAGGGCTGCTAGAGTCTGCCGCGCACCATCGCAGAGACCAGGCACGTGTTCTCATGGACTTGACTACCGGGTGTGTCACGAATACTCTTATCCTTTGCCCTGTGGGATCGGGTGGCATGGATGGCACCAGCGGCGCTCAATTACTCAAGTTATTGATTAATGTCGCAGAGCAGCAGTCGACGAAGGCTTCTCCCACCCCATGAGCCTCGAGCATTACATGTAAGAATCGAAGCTGATGCTGGACCAATGGATTAGTTGAACGATTGACACCGGGGCTTCCATCAAAAGTCTTCAAATGTATTCATGTCCCCTTTCAGGGTTATCGCGCCTAATGCAGTCTTGTGGTATCGTATCCTATACATGACAAACTTCTAAGTGTACACACAGGAAACAACGTATTGAGCCTCCTTCCCCAAAAACCAAAACCAAAATATCGAGATGAGAGATGCGGGCGAGGTACAGAAAATTGAGATATAAGAGGAGCCAGGGTATAAAAGTAGAAAAAGAAAAGAAAAAGAGAACCCATATTAAAGCTCCTCCTTAACTCGTCGGTTGCCCTTATTTTCCGCACCCTTCCTCGCGGCCCGGAGCTTATCATACACCTCCTCGCTCCAGTGGCCCTTCTCGCCCTGGTGCCTCTGCACGATGCTCTTGAGATAGAATTCCCAGCAGCCGTCTTCCTGGCCACCATCCTCACCCTTGGCGCAGGCATCGTCCCCTGCTACCAATCCGCGGGGCCAGAGGCCTAGCGACGCTCCGGCGTCGTGGTCTAGGAACGTGTCGAGGAGGAGGTAGCCGACCTTGCGCTGGGCACCGTCCCACGCCGCGTCGTCCACCGCCATCACCTCGGCGAGTTTCTTCATGCCGCCGCTCGCCAAGAAATCGTCCCGGATGGCGGTACTCTGTAGTAGGCCCTTGATGGCGAACACTGTGGACCCGACGCGGGATGCTGCCGCCGGAGACAGAGCCTCAGCGGCGCCGGGTACGTGGCTAGCGTAGAACGCGTCGCGGAGGGTGGCGCCGCCGCATTTGGACGACATCAGGTTCTCCCACTCCTGGGCCACCTGCTCCAGGGCCTTGGCGTTGTTTTGCATGGCGCCGGCGAGGATCCGGGCCGCCGCCTGCCTGTCTTGGCCCTCCGCGTCGCCTTTGACCATGAGGCAGAGGAGAGCCTGGGTGGCATCTTTGTCCTCGGTAAGCTTCAGGCCGTAATAGATGTCGCTCGAGATGTCGAGGAGGCTCTCCAGCGCACCCCGAAACGCCTCAGAGGACCCCTTGCCCCCGCCTTGACCACCTTGAGCGCGTCCCAGAATCCAGTCTCTTCCACGGGTGGCTGCTTGATCTTGCCCACAGGCTCGTACGCCGGGGCCCCATCCGGGATGCGAGGCGGGGCTTGCTCTTGCGCCTCGCCCTCTTCCGGCTCGACAACGACCACAGCCTTATCGACGGGTAGCCCCTCTAGTGAGCTATCAACCTCGTCGGGGTCGTTAATCTTGGCTTCCTTCACACCCGTCCAGATGTTGAGCCTGACATGGAGACCGCTAGGTAGCTCTTGGTCATCGTGGACCACCTGAAATTCATCCGTAGGCTGGAAGATCCGGGGTAACACTCTTCAGGGTTGTCGGTGTGACAGATGAGCTCCTGGGACTTGGCTGACGGGCTCCCTTCCGCCGCGTTGCTGGAGGCTAGGGCTGTAGGCGCGGATAATAAAATGAACCCGAAGACCAAGAATAGCACGGCCAAGTAGCTAGTGGGGCTATTACGAGTTGCCCTTGAGGGTGCCATGGTTGCAGGGTGTTTGTCTGGTGAGGCGCTAGGAAGAAACCGAAAAATCTCCCGCACAAGGATAGTGTGCCTTGGCCTAGTAGGTCTCAGTTGAGAGAAATGCGGATGTGTAGGTTGGGACGATGATGGAAAAAGATTAAAGATGAACGGTTAAGCGATATCCTCTCCTTAGGAGCCTTAGGAGGGAAAAGAGAAAAGAAAGGATGAGAATGTGAAGATACACAAGGGGTTGAGAAAGATATGCCCCTTTCCGTTTCAAAAGAGACTAAGTGGGCAGCGTGCTAATGCAAAATTCCAAGATGAATTAGACGCGGCGATGTTTGCAGGCACGGAGAATCATCAGCGAAGGGTTTTCTTCTTTTTGGTTCGGGGTGATGGATATCAATGTCTCGAGGGGGTCCCTTTAATACAAGACGCCCTGTCCAAGGCGGGATGTTGCGAACGTGGCAGCGGAACAGGAGTTGAGGACAAATAATCCAACACCGAATGAGCAAGAGTCATAGTGCACCCACGCACGCACCCTTTTCTCACTCTCACACCCGGTATCCGTCCATTTTTGGTCTGACACAGTTTAATTCTCTCACAGGAGCAGTGTGCTAATTTTCTTACACCGTGTCAAAAATAACGGAGGCGTGCATATTTTAGGGGATCCAAGCCCCGGGAAACTTGAACGCTTAACGTGCGGCCTCCATTGATGAACCTTGCGCCCCAGATCACAGGAACGATCCACTAATGCGTGTCACTGTTGCCTCCTGAACTTGCCACTTGTTCACTACCCTTTTATCACTACCGATGCTAGGTGGCTAGATGGTACAAACCGGCATCCTGTCTGTGAAGCTGAGGTGGCCTTGTCGTTTTCGATTATTTCTTTCTTTTCCTCGCAACTTCTAGAATGAAAAAGAACCATTGTTGGATAGCATGACTACCGAAATAGCGAGTAGCCGAAACGTGCCCCATTCAGCGAACTTACAGCAAGTTTGGATTACAGGGTGACAATCATCACCTATTTTAGGATAGAGGATGTTCTTGCAATGTAGGATGCCTCGTCAGGAAGGCAAGACACCTTTCCTTAGACACGAGTTGGGCGTCATCAATTACCAACTAACTTAATGTTTCGTGTTTTGCGAGATGGTCAACTTAAGCCCTTGATAAACACAATGGATGTTCCATGGGTGGAGTGAATAATGGCTCTTGTCATTCAAGCTGCTACTAACTGACAGGGCAATTATAACAATGTGATTGGGGACGTCTGAACAATGTTAGACAATCTCGTGAGCGTGGTTGCGTTGGTAGTGCCTCCCTTCAAATGATGGCTCTCAATTATGACTGTGGCTCACATCCATTACTTGTAGACCAAGCACCACAGGCTGAACGGCTGGAGAATGGGGGCCCCAAATCATTAAATTGTGGTGGGATGAAGCCCTGTGCTGCAGCACCAAACAAGCTCGACCCCCGCCAGCCAATCGCCATCCCGCCAAAAGCTCTGACAAAATATCCGGACTTCAGCCGATGTTCCTCCTCGTTATTCGCGCGGTACCTTCAGACAGAATCGGCAACGACGAGCGAGTGGAATTTCGTCAGTTCGAGGCATCCGATTCAATCCCACCGCTCGTGCAAACACAATCCGGGGCCCCCAGCTGGCGATAGACCCTTACCAACAAACAATGCTCGCTCTACGACAAGGCGCTGCTCGCGCCGCTTTGCGGCCCATCCAATTGACCCGGGCGACGAGACGATACGGTTCGACCGGCGGCCACCATCACCATCACGAACAGGCGAGCGCGGATGAACCACTCGGAGTAAGAAAGCTTCCAACCCAGGGCTTGAGAGGGAATGAGGGCGTCAATTGAAGGGGACTTGGAGAGGAGAACGACGGAGTAGGGCGTTTCGGATTCAATTGGCTAACGTGCATGCACTTTTTTCTCCCCTACCAGACCGGTCTCATCATCGCGGTTGCCGGCCTCCCTCTGAGCTGCCTTTTGTATTTCGCCGCCCGCCGTGGCGAGAACGGCGAGGAGCCAGCCATCACGAGGTGGCTCCGGAAGTACCAGAGCCTTAACGAGGTCTGGCTTGAGAGGAACACCCTTCACTCTCAGGCCGTCCAGCAGGCCGCCGCCGACAAACTCCTGTTCCTCACTGCCCCCGAACCTCCAACTACGAGCTCCGGTATCCCGAGTAAGTGTTCCTATCCTCGCGATGGGAGAAGACGACAACGAGGGTTGTGGAGGAGAGGGCAATGAGCCCACCCCCTCACCAGCGGCCGGGCGGTCTTCACACCTTTATGTTCCATGTACTGATATGTTTACCTCTTCCTAGGGCTCTCCACTCTCACTCTCCTAGAAACGTTGTAGCGGGCTCCATAGTCAATATCGATGCCGCGACAGAGCGTTACCGAAAGCAGCATCTTGAGGAAGAGGAGCGAAAGGCTAAGAAGCTTGCGGCTAAGGCGCAGGCTGAGGCGTGAGAAGAGGCGTGAAAACATTTTCCCCTCTATTCCCAAAAGAAGGAAGAGATGGTGATTATAGGCCAACGGTAGACGGGTTCGGAGAGCAGGAGTGGAAGTCCTGTGTTACATACTATTTCCTATTTATCATTTTCTTCGTTGCTAGAAAGTGTCTTGCCCGTAGTGCAAGATCCATGGATTATTCCTTCCCAGCCTCATCGGTCCAAGATTTCCAACCTTCCTTCTCATGTTGCCATAATGTGAATCGCTCCTTCGTTGACTAAGATACGCTTCCCACACTGTCATCACAAATAACCTTCAATGTGAATGTTTAAGCTAAAACAGCGCCCTGGATTTGGGCATCGCCACGTTTGCTTCCAACGAGTTTTTGGCCATCAATTCATTCTTGTGATACCTCTTCTACTCATAAATAGTTTCATAATATCGTCAAAATATCTACCCGTCTACCGATCTCATCTCCGAGCAGCCTCCGGAATCAATAACCGAGTTCACAGCCCATCCATAGCCAACGCGCTACGTAGACGGGCGATCTCTCCCACGCCCCCGCACCCTTAGTGTATTCAGTTCTCAAGGTCAGTGATGTCACAAGTCTAAAACATCAGTCCTTCCTATGAAGCTGGTCTTTGGTTCCTCCCGTTTTCATCATTTCCCATGGCTCCCAACGCCCACTCTTTCAGCAGGAACTTCACTGGTGAGGAGGATATGGAGGGCTCTTGGCCGATTTGCGGAGATGTGGATTTCGACACGCCCTCGGATACAGGGGACGACTTGGATTGCGAGGCTTCGCTAGAGACTTTTCCCTGTCTAGAGTTTGACCACCCACCTTGTCAACGTGATGCGACCACGCCCATCTTTCCGGGGCTTCGAGCTGGGCATGCCCCTCCAAGCAGGGTACGGCTGTTAGCTGGACGTACGAGCCGGAAACACCATCGTGGATCCAAGAGGTACATCCGGTGTCAAACATGACATTCGTTAGGTCCCAGACCGTAAGGTCGGCATCGGAGCCTAACCTGGCGAGACGAAAACACTACATCCTGCCAACCCTCAACCACCCAAACCACACTGACTCAGACGAGCTCGATGAGGCAGATATGATAGGGAGAGCTCTACTATACCCAATTCCCCGCGCCCGAAAACTATCCTTCGTGAGTTTCCAAGCCCTCCTGTGCATAGCCTCCGGCATCCGCCCCCAGAATACTCGGGAAAAACTGCCCGATTTGCACACCTTGCGGCCGTCCACCCGGAGCTGGTCCCCGCCGATGAGCCCAATATTACATGGCAGACTATAAAACCCCCGGACCGACAGCCGCTCCTAAGTTTAGCGAAGGTAGAGGCCGTCGATTCCCTTTACGAGACTGTAAGAGTGATGACGAACCCAGACGTTTTCGAGGGGTTTCTAGGAGAAGCTCGATGATAACTCCCTCTCCGTCTTTTCCTGCTTCTTCCTTTTCGTATATTCCTGCAAGTCGGGGCCACGGCTCACGGGAACGATTTTATACACCTTCAACGCCCCGGTTGGAGCCAACCGCGGGCCCGTCACCAGCACCGTCTTGTCGATTTGGATCGCTACCATTTCGACCTCCCACGCCACCGTGCACTTCATCGCCATCCTAGATAGTTTCAGCGAGGGGTGACGACATGTGTACGAAGCGGGATCCCAATGCTAAGGGCGAACTGCGAGCTGTACCTGCTTCCTCCTCTCACCATGACCGGGGTGAGGACCACTCGTTGGCGAACGCCAGGGCGTCCGAAGGTAGACCATCTCCGAGGCAAGCGTCGGGCGACGCGGGTAGCCAAATTTCACCCTCAATTCCGCAGCCATCCATTCCCCGAGGATGGGGCCAGTCCCGCAGCTCTATGTTGGGCTTGCTCAAGGCAAAGGTCGTGGGATCTTTGCCCGCAGCCCCATTCCTACAGGTTCCATCATTGCACGCGAAAAACCACTGATCGAGGAACGTCACGATATGATAACGGGGGCCAACGCCGGATACGGGATCGATGGGAGAAATACCCGGCTCCGAAGCAAGATCGTATCCGCCAGGCGTTCCCGACGCTTGCAGACATACCCTCACAAGAACTCTCGCAAGAGCACAAAAATAGGCTGGAACGCTTTATGACTGAGTATTCGTTCCACTATGGGCAGTACCAGACAGGCCTCGTATACGAGTGGATCTCAATGGCCAACCACTCGTGCGCCCCAAACGCCTGCGCGGCGCCCGGTAATCCAGGGACGCTGCGGGCGCTCAGGGATATTGCCGAGGGAGACGAGATTACCATTATGTATACCAAGCGGAATGCGAGATTCAAGTGCCGGTGCGAGGTTTGCGTCTCGAGGAGCCGCCCAAGATTCGGAGCTAGCCGGAGTACAAGCGAAGGTAGCGGAGGACCCGTCGCACAACTGTTCACAAGGTCAAGGGTGAGGCGGACGGGGACGGGGAGGCTCGGGGGCCAGTCCTCTGGTCCAGGCGAAACCCTCACCCATACGAGTGACGCTGACGCTGGTCACAGTAAAAGTTGGCCAGGATCCCGAGGGCCAAGCGAAGGAGACACGCACCCGTCGTTACGGGGGCAGATAACTGGGGCATGGGGGACGGCGACGGCTATCAAGCTACTGATGATGGAAGGGACGGATCCTCAACCGAAATGAGGAATTGGAGTCACAAGTTCAAGACGGCCATGTCTCAGCTCTGGAATTCGCGATCTGGTTGAGTACTCTAGTCTTGGGGGTGGAGAGGGGGCAATGAAAGCCTGTCTCTGTAGCCCTGCTTCGAAATGAAGAGAGGAATGGAGATTCAGCTGGATGTGGACCTGGGCCTATGCCTGGGTTGGGGTGGGCTGGTGGGAAAGAAGGGGGTGTGAGTAGGAGCAGGAAGGGTGGAAGGGTTCGGGCAGGTTTGAAAGCGTAGCAACTTGGGGGCACGAGAGCGGAGCCGTGGAACGATGTCTTTTCATTTACCGCGGTGCATGCAGAACAGAGGGCCAACTCTTTTTGGAAGTTGGAGGTGAAGCGTCGTTGCAATCCACACCCGAATCATGTAAAATAACACAGAAGCGAATAGCTAAAGCGCCTGGAATAAACTTTGTGTGTATTCCTTTGTTCTTGATATTGAGAAAACTCCCTTGTCAACGAAGAAATTTCCATTCGCCCAAACCGCCCTTATCATGCATATGACGTGGAAGTGCATAAAAGCTTCCTTTTGGCAGACGCCGCCACTAAACCCTGACCACTTTTTCATTATCCATCCGGCACCTTGTTTATTTGAGAGGAATGAAACGCGAAGAGTGCGTGGCACCGATACCGGGACGACCGTGCTTGACGGGCTTGCTATAGAATGGGTCAGCGGTGGTCCTCGACTGGTAAAAGAGCCCTCCTTTGTCGCTCCTTGAATCCCCACCCTCCTCCCCCTTTATCAAACAGGGGGTGGGAGGGAATGGGGAGACGGTAGCCGAGAGAACCATCTTCTCTACCCATCACTCAAAAGAGGAGGAGTAAAAATGCGCCGCGGAGAGAGGGCAAGGGGGCTTTGGAGTGGGAGAAACGTACTAAGAGATGGAGAACTCAGCGAGGTAGTGGCCAACCATCTCAGGCTTGATCTCGACCTGGTTGAATTCCTTGCCGGAGTAGATGCCGATAACGCTGCCAATCATCTCGGGGACGATGATCATATCGCGGAGGTGGGTCTTGACGAGGTCGGGCTTCTCGTTGGGCTTGGCCTCCTGCTTAGCCTTCCTGAGCTTCTTGATCAGGCCCATGGGCTTGCGCTTGAGACCGCGGTTGATTCGGCGCCTGGCACGGGCGTGGACGAGCTTGCGGAGATCATTGGAAGAGAGGTCGAGGAGACTGGAAAGGACCAAATGCTTCGGTTAGCGGACCATGATTCTTTCGTTTTCTCACGTGAAAAGATTTTGCTTCTTTTCTGCTTCTGTTTTTATATGGGTCGATTCTGGAATTGGAGAGGGGCAGGATGGATAGAAAAAGACAAGGCAAGGCGTTGTCTCGAGAGATGCGGATAATGGAAAAGTCTTTCTGGATGGCGGTTTCTGAAGCGAGGGCTTTTGAAAGGGCATGGTATGTACGTACGGCTCGAGCTCGACTCCCTGTAGGAGAACTTGCGGAACTGTCTTCTCTTCTTGAGCTCGGCAGCCTCCTCCGCGTTCTATATTGCACGGAAAAAATGGTTAGTTTATGATGCGACCACGATGCTGCGTTTCCATGCCACTACTCCTCTCCTCCCCGACAGGAAAAAGAGAGAAGACGCAAGCCTCATCTCTCTCCAACTCGATATAAACTGATTCCATCGGGAGGGAAAAAAGGTCGTGACGAGGATGAAAAGCTGGGGATTGAGAAACGTACGTATTCGTCGACGTCAGCCATGCTTGCGGTGTTTCTGTTGAGAAGGCTAATTCGCTTTTCGATGTGACTTGTCGAAGAGCGAATGTAGGTGAATTGGCGATCGTGGTGGTTGGTCTCTGGGAGGGTTTGGTGGAAATACAACCAGCACGGGCTTGAATGCGAGGGGCTCTCAAATTTTTGCCGTAGGGTTTGAGTGCCCTCGCAAGAGGGCGCAAACAGGCACGACCATCACGTGGGGTGCTTAGTCATATCGCGGAACTCTGATGTGGATGGTTTTCAAATATTGTGGGGAACTCGAAATGATAATTCCCCGTTGATTGCCCGACACCACCAATAGTGGGGTTTTTATCTTCAGTCGATTTCTGGATCCGACCAAAAGCACAAAGAGTGTGAGCAGCCTGGGCTCTGACGGCGGTCTTTGAAAGTAGCATCACAAGCACCCACCTCTGTGAATGACCCCCAAGTCTAACCGCGAGAGGCTTGATAGCAGCTGTACTAGTTCGGAGAGGGAAAAAACCACAGGGCACTTACTACACGAAGGGTCTCATCGATTCACTGAAATTCACTTGTGACAGCACAAGAGATATCAGATAATATATACCCGCATCCCAATATATGCTCGGTATTTATTTCAAGATTACTCGTTGTTCTCAGTCCTACAGTGTTCAAAAATGCGCGACTCGTGCGGAATCATTCTGAACGCATCAATCCATCCATGGTTTAATTCGAAATAGCGGAGGGGTGCTCTCGGAAGCAGCATGAGGCGGGCTGCACCAAAAGATCTCCATAGCGCCCTCTCGTAGCCTCCCCCAATTTGATCGATGGTTCTTTTGTTGTTTGCTCGCTTGGCACAATTTTTTCTCCCGGCTAGCACACGCCGAGAATGAGAAACGCTTACACAATTGCGTGTGTGTGTGGGTAGTTCTTGGGCTGGGATTATTTCTTTCTTCTACTCTTCGCCAGTTCTCAAGCTGTCTGTCTCATGGCTTGTAAGCCGCGGACTGGTTCACACACACGGACTTGGCTGCCGGTTGTTGTGTGCCGGTGGGCGGGTGGTCCCTCAGTCACAAGGTGGTCGGGGAGCTTGACTCGGAGATAGCTTGGCGCTCAATGCCCTTCGAGGGGGCCCTTGTGAACACTTTCTTGGCCCCCTCCTCCGTCTTCGCCCCTCATGCCGACGCATCATCAATTCCACATCCTTTCATTCTTCGAGGGGCAGGGGGAAGGGGGAAGGGGGAAGGCAAAAGGGCGAAGAGCGGGAGGAGGTGCAGCGAAGGTCTTGGGGGCGCCTTATACCTCACATCAACCACTCTAGCTCAATGCTTTCCATTCCTTCAATGTTCCTTTGGCAGGGTGAGGCGGTCAATGAGCCCTACATCGATGGCGCCAGGCTCGTTTCTTGCATCAGGTGCCACGTCGCAGGCGGTACCTCCACCCTAAAAGTGATCATCGAGCCCACCAAGACCCTTTGACCGAACCGCGCTAGAGCCTTCAATGTTCTGTAGTCCAGCCAGGACGAGGCGAGCCGGAACAATCTGATCTAATGTCGAGAGGGGGCGAGGAACAGGGCCACAGGAACAAGCAGCTCTTCTGGCTCGGAGTGCAGCACACAGCGTGCAGCTTGAGTCCAGGCCATGCCACCCCCGAGGAGAGACTCAAGTAGGCAAGGCGTCGATTTGATGTGCACCCACAATTGTAGGGCGCCGCGTACACACTCATCTCGTCTCCGCGCCCACTTCTGCGTCTCCTAGTCTCCGTCTTGGGTTTATCATTGTATGATTATTTTTGTTTGCTTCCTTTTTTGTTTCCCTTTCCGTCGTTTTACTTGTCTTGGTTTCCCCATTCCCCGTTTCGCCTCTCCTCGGCGCCGCCCTCTTTGTCTCTCTGTCGCTCGGCGGGTGCTCGCAATCAGCCACCCCATGTCCATCGTTACATGTTCGGGCTCGGCACGTCAGGTCTTTTCTTGACCAGGATGTCGTCGGCAAGGCCAAGGCCGGTCGATTGGCACGATGTGGATTGACCTATTCAAGCAAGTGTTCTTGGCGTTTGGGTGGTTGACCAACAGCCATTGATCGACGACTGGAGATGACTGGCCCGCCAAGTCCCTAGGAGAGTCAAAGGGACCACCCTCTTGCTGTGGACTGCCCAGAATGTCTGCGCTGAGCCGTTTTCCGGGAGGAACGAGAGAATCACCAAATAGAATGGACCCTCGACTCCCACGCTGTGTCCGAGAATCAGCTTCCTTTTTTCTTTTTCTTTCTGGTTCCTGCTTCTCTCCCTCTCCTCTCCTCGTTGCCGCTTCTTAATGTTCATATTTTCCTTTTCCCGCTTGTCCTTCACATATATTCCAAAACCCCTCGTGATACCCGTCCGCCCTCCTCTCCTCCGTGCTCTCGTCGAACCTTTTTCCGTTGGATACCGCCCCTCACACATCCTAAGCCCATAATCCCCGGGACTGGAACGACCCACGCGAGAAGCCTCGAGCTCGAAACCTCAAGACTACCACCTTTTGTTCGCATTGGCCCTTGGGTCTTGTTTTATTTTTATTTTTCCCCCTTCGTTTCCGCCCCGGCAGATACCCCAATCGACGACCCTCCCCAGCGCGCAGTGTAGATAGAGCAGTGGGCCGGCCTTGGGTTTGATCTGGCCGAGACCTCTCGAAGTCCAATTCTCGACGTCCTCCACCACCTAAGCTCAAGTTTCCCGCCTCAAGCGCCCGCGCAAGCTAGGGATCCTACCAATGGCTTGACCAGCGAAAACGGGAGCGCATTACAGGCCGAAGCCCCATACCTTTTGTTCCTGGAGAAGCTCTGGCGAGGAGTGCCTAACCCTGTGGATCGGCTTCTAATTTTTTTGCCTGTCCCCCTTGGCATTCCTTTCGCTTCCACGACTTGTTGCATATTCTTCTACTTTTTCTTTTCTTGGGAAATCACATTCACCCTTCACTCTCGGGGCTTACCCGCTCAGAGGAATGGCACCAGCAGACCCCGCGCCCGCGCCCGCGCCCGCGCCCTCCACGCCACCAACAACATCCCCCACGGCCACCTCGACCGAGAGCCCCACCACGACCTCGGAGCGCCGCACCAGCACCCCGGACGTCACCCCCGCCCTCACAACCTTGTGGACCGCGCCCGAGAAATGCGATTACACCTATGATGCCGACAACCCCCGGGCCCTAATACCGGGCCCACTGCTTATCTCGATTGGCTCGTCGACCCCGACGCCACCACCTTTCTTGCTACCCCCGGCATGTTCGCGTCCGGCAATTCCGGAACCTTTAGCCCAGCATCCTGCCCCATTAGCTGGTACACTGTCGACCGGCCTGATAAGACGGATACTGTCCCGCAGTCGGGCAAGACGACGCGTACATGCTGCTCCAAGTACGTTTTGTCATAATTTCTTCTCTCTCCCCTTCCTTTTTAATTTTTACATCCATCCTCTCAGTTGCGCTGCACATCCCACTAACACGTCCGTCTTTTGTCTTTCCTATTAGACAATACACTCTCAACGGCGACTTCTGCGAGAGAAGCATACCAACCATACTCGCGACCCCCGTTCAATACGTCAGCTCCCTACAAACATACTCGTACATGCCCCACATCACCTACCTCGTCAACGCCACCATCGCCCACCGCCCCGTCGTCGTCCTCTTCGAGCAAAAGGACCAAGAGGTCCTCGGTTTCACAGACGACGACGAGCACATTGCCGACCCGGGTGTCTCCTCCTCTTCCTCCTCCTCCTCCTCCAAGAGCCCCGCCGACCGCCTCCCCCTTGGCGCCAAAATCGGCATCGGCGTCGGCACCGCCCTCGTGCTCTCAGCCTTGCTCGGCTTCCTCTTTTGGTTCCTCCGCCGCAGCTCCCGCCGTCCCGCCAAGGTATACCCGCACAACCGCCACCGCGCATCCGCGGGTCCGTCCGGCACCGCCGATCCCGAGGTCGCCGAGGCGCGCCTCCGTGCCCGCCGCGACCTCGATCCCCGCCCGCGTACGAACCTTCTCCGCGTAGCGGTAGTTCTTCCAGCCTTTCCTCGGACGATGAGACCCCGCGACGGGCTCGGAGCCGGACGAGGAGCTCAAAGTGCTCAAAGCACAGCAAGAGGCGATACGGAGGCGGATCGAGCAGCTAGAACGAAGCGGCTCGGCTGATTCCATTCCAAGATAGATAGGAAGGCCAAGGCTTCCACCCCCAGAAAACCCGAAAAAGAAAAACAGAAACAGAAACACGACCACGCATGACGGGATCTGCGGAAAGAGCGAGGTTGGAAGGGGTGTTCGCCCCGGTGCCTAGACGGCTAGACGAATGTGTTGCATACACGATGACTATGATACATGAGGTACCACCCAAATTCCCGGGGACCAAGAGGTGAAGAAACCACAGACGAATAGAAAGGACTGCCATTGTTGTTTACAGTATCTGATACCACGGACGGGAGATGTCTAGAACACATCCTTCTCGAGCCATTGTTTTTACACTTCCTTTCTTTAATTCATCCATTTTACAGATCAAGCGTCAGACGAGCACAGAACAGAGTATTAGCGTCGAGTATATAGAGAAATATATGAGTACTTTCGCTTCATGGTGTACACGTAATGTTTAGGAAAAGATTCTCCCAGTCCAGGGTGATGAAATAAAGAAATTGCCACGTAAAGAGGAAAAAGAAAAACACAAGATGTCCAGCTATGAGCTTTTGGAGAGTAGGAAAAAATGAGGGCTCTGATCAACCATCTGGAGGCCATCCTCGCCGCCTCCTCGCCGCCTCCAATACCACACCACGCACCGCCTGTCAACCTCGCCCGTTCGTACACCCATGCTCAGCAATCTGCCGTTGTCATATACACGTTACCGTCAATCCTTAAAGCTAAAAAGAGCTTTTCATGCGAATTTTTCGCTGCCAGGGAGGGAGGGCTTGTCCACCGAGGGAGAAAATAAATAAGCGGATAAAACCTAGGGGAAAAGTATGTATATAGATATATGTATAAAGAAAAGAAACAAGTCCCCGTCGTCGTAAACTGGCAAGTTAGGCCCCGCCCTGGGTCTCGGTGCCCTCGGTGCCCTCGGCGCCGGCGGTCTGGACAATCTTGCCGAATCGGTCGCGGGGCTTGCGGTTCCAACCAGTGGAAAAGAGTCGGCCCATCTCGAAGCGCGGCAAGGGATGGGCTTCGGTGTTGAAGACGATCTTGTCGAGGGGAGGACGTCATCGGGTGAGAAGAGGAGGTAAAAGTATTTGAGCGTCTCGGCCTGGAGGAAGGGGGTGGAAAAACAACGATTAGCGGACGAGGACCGGTTTGGACATGTTGTTCTGTACTTACCAACCAAAAGCTCTCCATGTTATCGCGAGAGACGGGCGGAAGCGTGTTCGCGTTGGTCAAGCTGCTGAAGCCGCCGTCCTCCACGGCGGTGTGGTCCATGAAGCTCATAAACATCTCCCAGCCCCACTCGCGGTACTTGACATCCTTGGTGATGCGCCACATGTACACCAAGCTCTCCACCGTCTCCGGGCGTTGGAGGTTGTGCGCGTCGGCCGGCTTGACGATGAAGTCGGCGCGCCAGGGCGCGTCCAGGTCGGCGCCGTCGAGGGTGGAAGGCGGGGTCGGGTGGGCGGCGCCCTCGGAGAGCGGGGGCTTGTTGACGTTGAAGTGGGTGATCTCGGCGGCGAGGCCGGTGGCCATGTACTTGTACGTAGCCCAGCAGGTATGCGTGAGCTCGGCGGCGAGCTTCATGTCCTCCTCGTCCTTGCGCGTCCAGGTGGCGAGCTTGCGCGCCTCGGCCAGGGCAGGCCACCCGTGGCGGCGAGGGCGATGCTCCCGGGCATGAAGCACACGAGGTGGTCCATCTTGGGAGAAAGCGGGGCGTCGAGGCCCTCTGGCCGCTCGGCGATGATGGTGAAGCCCGAGTGTTCCGTGTACGTGACGAGGTGGCGGCGCACGCCGTCGAGGGCCTGGGTCCACATCTCCTCGTAGATGGGCTCGGCCTTGTTCGTCTGGAGGTATTGCTTGATGAGGTACTCGTAGTACGAATCGCCGCGGCTGCCGAGCCGGACGTTGCGGCCCTTGAATTTGCCGGAATCAGGGTAGATGAAGATGGGTACGAGCCCGTCCTCGGTCCCGTTATCGTCGATGACCTGCATCACCTTCTCGACCTTGTCCCAGTAAAACTTTTCGCCGGTGAGCTTCGCCAGGTACTTGAACTCGAGCTGGAGGGTCGCGGTCTCGGCCGTAGAGGAAGCTCCATTATCGGCGTGCGAGGGTATGGCTTGCTGCTTGGCAAGGTTGACGCTCGCATAGGGGATACCGGAGGGGAGTCAAAGGCCACGATCAGGCGGTCGGCAAGGTCCTTGGCCTTCTCCAGATAGAGGTCTTCACCCCCGGCATCTTCGGGGACGGGGGCCATGTTGGGGAACTCGGTAGAGAGATAGTGGGCGGAAAGGAGCCCGCCGAGCATTCGGATCGTCGTCTCGAACGTGTTGACGTCTTGGTCTTGGTCCCAGGTCAGGGTCTGCTGCAGCCATTCTCGGGCATGGCTCAGCCTCTTGGTCTGGTTCATCAGCATCATGGTGTCGAGGGAATCGATAATGATCCAACCGAGGCCATCTTTGGCCATTTGCCTCTTTCCCTTGGAAACGGGGTGGAATTCGTCGTAACCTGTTGTCGCACGGGTGGCTTGTCAGTACATGGAACTGCTACCACATTTTCTAAGAGGGCAGCCCCCTCCCCCTCACGGCATCTCCCTTGAAGAAAGACGCTGGGGGAAGCTGGAGGCGAATTTGAGGAACGCGACAGGCCCAGGCGAGTGCCTCGCAGTGCCTCGCGCCGCCCCGCATTGTAGTATTTCCGACTTACCCCATGCATATCTCTCGTAGGCATCCCAGCTCTTTTCAAAGGCATCGACGACATGTTGCCTCCGCTTCTCCCAATCGACCTTGCCCTTTGGCGCCTCGTTAAACGACCCGAGCCCCCAGACGGAGCCCTTTTCGCCTTCCCGATCGCGAGAAAAGGCGCCGTTCAGATACATGAGGGTCAAGAGGGCCGCCAGCCCCAAAAAGGCCAACACCCTCCTCCGGCGCCACATGGGCCGTATTTTTCGCGACGCTCCATACGTGTAGGGCTTGTCCTTGTACATGGGCAGGCCGCCGGCGCGGGTCTCGAACAGGCCCTCGACTTTGTCCTGGACGTTGTGAAGCAGGCTGGTATTTCCGCGGGGGCGCGGGCCGACACGCCCGTGGACGACCATAGCTGGTCTTCGAGCTTGCGCTGAGGATTCGAAAAGGAGGGAACGTTTCGGGGGACGGAAAATGCCATGGTTTTTGCGTATGCAGAAGCGCCTGCTTGTCTCGGTCTCGGTTTCGTTCAGCCTCCTCGCCCTTTGCCTCTTTTGTACCCCGGAGCTGTCCTCCTCTTGCTTCTTCCGATCCTTGGGGTCGTTCTTCGTCAGAGGGGAGGCGATGTGGGGAACGTTCGGCCGAATGCTACGGGTTAGGAGGGGGAAAATAAAAAAGAGAAGAAGAAAAATATATATATATATCGATATCACATCAGCCAGAGGACGAGAGGACAGGCTGGAGGCGAAAAGGATGGGGTTGGGTTCGGCAAAGAGGGTCGTGCTTCCGGGTTGTCAAGCGCTCGAGGTCAAAGTGCTTGCCAAGCCAAAGCCGTAGCCAGAGGGAAAAAAGGTGCCAGGTAAGCAAAACGGCTGGGCCGGAAGCAGCGCAAGACGAATTGTTCATCCGCCGGAAAGCGTGCCAAGGAGACCACACCACCAAAAAAGAGAATGGGGGAAAATGAGGACGACGAGACAATTCAATTGCAATTACGAGGTAGAAGAAATTGAGGGTTTAGCAAAATGAGGAAGAGGGGGCCAGCTAGGGTGCTATTTTCGCATTGTCTAAGAAAAGTATCAATTGATGCGTGGAGCAAAGGTGAAGACTAGACGGGATCAATGTACGAAGTAATATTACATCCCGATGGACAGGACACGATGGACACGATGGACAGGTGTTCTGTCGCGTGGTCTCTTGCTCTTGTGGAGTTTGGAGCTGCCATCGGCTTTCGTTGCGATTCGAGACAGCACGGGACAAGCGCACTCCAGCGCAGGGTACCCTCCCACCTCCCAGGGCACTCCCCGCTGCTCCGCGTGCATTCAATGTTCCGAACGTTGAACGCATTGACAGAATCGTCCAGGATCTGCCCGCGGCAAGTGCATGGATTGGTGGTGATGGGTCTATTGGATGGCCCTATCTTTGTAACATCCATCGACAGATCCATCCAGCTTTGCTTGCCAGGGTGTAATAGATAGAGTTGAGGTCAATGGGGCTCGCCACCATCGGTACGTATCGGCTAAGCGCTGACCTTCAAGTACACGAGACCAGTATTGGGGATTCAATCCCGCTAATAGAGACATCCATGGATAGATGGATGGATAGATGGAGCGCCTAGGCCCGCCCTGGGCTGGGGCACGCTCTCTACCCGCACTTGAACATTCAGATTACTCCAATCAGAGGGATGGATCGGCGGTATTGGTCGCTGCACGATGCGCTTCCAGTGGAAGTGTAATAACGCGTCATCGGCGTCAGCGTGTGACACCAGGCTGGTCAGACAAGCCTAAGCTGACTCGATAACGAGGCCTCGATACATGGACGAATTGGCGAGCAATCCAACGTTGAAGTCTATTGATCCATTGCCCTCAATGTTGACATGACTCTTGTGCCATCAATCGCTATACAGTTGCTAGAGTCAGCCTCGCATGCACACCAACCCCGTACAGGGCGGGAGAGCTCAACATCACATCGCAGCCCTGGAAACTGAACACGGTCAAAAAGAGGCTCAATTCTATATGTGCGCAACCGAGATGGACAAAAATCCACATTTCAATCCTAGCAGAAACCAGCAAGGGAGGGAATCTAGCTGGAGGGAATCTAGCCTGACCGAGACATGACCCTGAACAATACCGACATGAGGACATTAGAATGAAGGAAAAGAAACCAAAGGAGAGAGAGGAGAAGTAAAGACAGAAAAGGTGAAACGAAAAAAAAAGAGAAGAGGAGAAAAGAAAACGCCGGATACAAGGGCACGCACTGAAATGACCATAGCGACCATTAATCATGTCATAAGAACAAAGAAAATACCAAGCATCTCGCCCACTGATCCACGTAGACCTAGAAGAAGTCCCCATCAGAGTCTCATCGTACATGCATACTACATACCGACAACGGGCAGGCGCATAGGCGCAACATCGCCGGAACGGGGCTGGGGCCGGAGCTGGGGCCGATGCGAGCTTGTGCAAGCTGCGCTTCGCTCATGCGTCCCCTCTCCGGCCGTCCGTTGCGCCTGAGCATGACAGACATGAGACAAGGTCGAACAGGTCAAGAGTATGGCGGGTATCATAAAACAAGCCGTTTCGAGCATAAAAAACCCTTCGTCCAGGCTCCAGCAGCAAAGGGGCCATGATAGCAATCCATCCATAAAAGCGTACAAAAAACCGGAAGTCATGAATTCAGAAAAGAAAGAAAAATGAGGAGATAGAAAAAGGCCAGGAGAAAAAAATAAAGGTATGCAGAAGAAGAAGAAGAAGAAGAAGAAGAAGAAGGGGAAAAAAAGAGGAAAAAAGGAAAAGAAAGGGCCTCAGGAGAAAACCCCCAAAAGAATATATCCATTTGATATGTCCTCATTAGTAAAAATGGCCCGAGGTGCCTTGATGTGGCGAGCTGGAATAGGGAGATGTCGTCGAGCCATGCGAGGCAAACGCACCGCCCCGGAACCCGACATCCCATCAAGATTGACTGGAATTTCTATGTATTGCGTTCCGTTCTGAAGTCCTAGCCCTGCCGAGCTGGTGCCAAAGAGATCTCCTGCCGGGGGCACCGCGATGTACGGGCCACCGCCGGTGGCGCTGTCGAGATACGAGGTAGTATCGATCGGAAGACTTTGAACTCGCTGGATCGATGGCGTTGGGTGAAGGGACGCGTGCCCGGGGATGTCTGCCCATACAATGCACCGTGATTGCCGCTGTAGTTTGCCATATTGTGCTGCCGCCCGCCCGTGGCCATGCCGCTCTCCATCGCGTTTCCGCCAAACTGGCCGCCGAGGTACAACGAGTCTTGGAAGGAGCCCGTGCTCAAACCCGAGTTCATGTCATACTCGAAGGCGGCATCGGTTCGTATTTGGTAGGGAATCGGTACCGTCGTCGTCGCCATCGTAGAGTGGTGTCCAGGGCCGTCGTTGGCGCTCGACCCGGAAACCATGTAGCCGGATAAAGGCATTGGCGTGCCAGCCCCGGGAGAGTGGAACCCGAATCCCGGGCGCGGCGGGCCCTGTACCGGACTAACGACTGTGTCGGCCGTGACCTCTGCCGCCGCCACGAGGCGCAAGATTGGGAGGCTAATCTGCTCCATGTGCTTGGCTAGATGGACCGTCAACTTCTTGAACGACGGGAGCTTTCTATTGCAGAATTTGCACGGCTCTTCCTCTGCCTTCTTTGCCGATAGGACGTGGCACTGCTCAACCTTTTTCCACGTGGGGTCGTTGCCGCCAAACTTCTTGAGCGCTCCCTTGGTCTTGTGGATGGGCTCCACAAACTTGTGCTCGCGGACGAGGTGTTGCAAGAAATTATCCCGTCGGTAACACTTGTGCGCGCAGTCATCCACGTCGCAATCCCAACAATCTAGGTGGCGGTGTCCCTCGTTTTCGTGCCGCACCCAGTCCGCCTTGCGCTTAAATATCTTGGGCTCCTTGCACCCTTCCCACGTGCACGTGAAGGGCTGCACGTCCTCGTGCACGTGCTTGGTCCAGTCCGATGGCTTCTGGAATTTCTTGGCCTGGAAACACAGCTGGCACTCCATCATGGCCGGAAGACTCGATGTCGGCGGCATTGGAATATCTTGGGGAAGCTGTCCCGGGTGAGCACGCCCTCGATGGGGGTGAGGTCGTTGTCGGGGGACGAGAGACTGTCGGGGTTGCGGGGTTGTCCCTTTTGATCTAGCAGCGTAGACGTGCCCCCATGGCTAAGCAGAGAGAACCGGATAGGCACCCTCGGCCCTGCTGCAGGTGCTTGACCTTGGCGCTTAGCAGGTGCTTGTACCTGGTGACTTGCTGCATCGCGATCCGCTCTACCAAGTAATGATCCGGGCTCAAACCCGGGTTGAGTCGCAGAATGTGTGCCTTGAAGCCTTCGTAGGTCGGAACGATGGACTCCATCGAGTCGGACGGCTCCATTCTCATGTCGTGATCGTCCAAGTCGTAATCATCGTCGTCTTCCTCCTCGGCATCGTGCGCTACGGTTATGGTTGATGTGGCGATGGTGCCCACGGGAGGACCGCCATTTTTCCTCCAGAGGCCGGCCAACGTCGATGGCCCGCCAGGGTGCAGCCTAGTACTAGCCCTTGGCAGATCTGACTTGCTCCGGGGCCGGATAGTCGTCGTAGTCTTCGCCACCAGACCGCCAAAGGGGCTTTTGGGCGACGTCACAGAAGTTGCGCTGATGGATCCGCTGCGGCCGTGGGCCTGGCTGGCCTGGCCAGCCCCTACGGCAGCGACACTCTGCCCCATTGACACAAGCGCCGTGTTGATGCTGGGAGTCTGCTTCTTTCCCCAGCTCGAGGTTCGCGTCGGCGGGGCCAGGCGCGCAGTCGAGTCAGCCTTTTCGCCAGACGAGTTAGTGAAGCTCGCTTCGTCGTGGCCACTTAGCGACCGCTTTAGGGTCGCGCTCGGCTTTTTAACAAGGGTTCGGATTCCGCTCAGGAGCCCGCCGCTTGTCCTGCGGGGGTCTCCTCGGCTGATTGTTAGCTTCTTTAGTAGGTTGCCACTCAAGCCCTCAATGTCTCGGTCTGTCACGGCGACCACACTCTGGGGCCGGGTTCCCCATGTTGCCGTATCTGATATGATAGAATCATTATCGCGACACATGCGCTCGTACCGCATCATCGCATCCCGAGACGATTCGGGCTGGAAGCCGCCTGATCCTTCGCCTCTGCGGATGGGGTGGATCTGGGGCGCGTCGGCCCAGTTGCGACCAGAGTAAATTATTTCGAGATCCTCCGCCGTCATGGCTCCGGCCCCACCGAGAAAGTAGGTCTGATCTGGAAGAAATCTGTTCTCCGTCTTATCGCCGAGTGGGATCCCGTCATCCTCATTCTCTCCCATGCGAACGATCCCGTCAAGGCTCGTTCGGGGGTCATTCGTGGGGATGTGGGACTGCTCCGTGCTCTGGTCAAGCCAACTGGCGACAACCTTCTTGCGCTCCTCAATCTCTCGTTTAGACACGATAGAGTTCACGCTTTCTGTTGCTGTTCGGGGCCGGTTCTCCGGGCCCAGACCTCCCGGGCCTGCCATGGATTCCCGAAGCCAGGTGCCTGAGTTGTTACGAAAAGGGCCGGGTATGGGCGGAGGAGGACCCGACAGCAGATCGCCAGGCGTACTGTGAGACGAGGGCGGCCGAGCTGGCGTATCCAGTTCAAAAGAGCGCTCAACAGCGTGCGACAGAGGCGTTGGTCCCTTGCCCCAATCGGAAATAGTCACGAGAGGGCTCTGGAGCAGGGTAGGGGCATTGACGGCTGTGGGTTGTTGCTCATCGTCGCTCGAGTGGTCGCTCACGGTCGGCGTCATCTGGAAGCGTTCTGGGCTTAGGGGCCCCGGGGGATTAAATGGGCGTTGTAGCTCTTGTAGCGATACTGAGCTGGGCTGAGATGTTGGCGGGGAGGTGAAAGTGCGCTTCCGACCTGACTGGGGGGCTCGGCGAGGTCCGGGGTTAGGGGATAGTTGGAGTTCTTGATTACGGACTGCCGGCCTACCAAGGAATCGGGCGTCGTATTACTAGGGATCGAGGGGTTGGCGAGGGCGACGGTATTCTGTTTGGGAGAAAAACTGTTTGAGCGGCTGATGGCGACGAAGGAGTCTTCAAGAAAGGTCGGTGTGCCGCCACCCTCGCGGCTGAAATCGACACCAAAGAAGGGATCTTCATCTCCGCCAAAATCACTAGATTGGTAGTGGTCCATGGTGGACAGGGAGTCTGCCGGCGTATGGGTATCGGCCTGATGATTTGACAGGACGGAGTTGCTCCGGGAGCGATAGTGCGGCGAAAGGTGCCCAGAATCCAGAGCCTCGGCCCCAGAAAAGCTGCGGTGGTGAGCTCCGGGCTGCGGGGGCAACGCACCGGCGGCGGCCGCGGTATGGCCGTCGTAAAAGGATGCCGAAGACATTGCCGGTTATGATTGTAGCCGTGAGGCAGCTAAATTCAACAAAGAAGACGGTCCGAGAAACAGATTTCCGTTCAAATTAGTGCGTGGGAAAGGGGTGGTATAGTATGGGCGTCCAAGCAGGCGCGCCAGTGCCGGATTGGGGACAAATGTTTACGGGTAGTCCACTCAATACATAACACAGCAAAACCAGCGCCGCTCCTATTCGAACTCCCGAGTTATGCTGAGGCAAAGCAATTTGCAGCGACTAGACAGATGCAAAATAGGAAGGATAGAAGAAGAAGAAGAAGGAGAAGGGGGTGCCGTGAGAATGCGTCTAGTTGTACGATTACTTGGCACGCGTGGGCGGACAATGTTGATCTTTCAGTGCTCTGCTTGAAGGGCTTCTTCGTTGCCCTAGGAAGACTTCGGAACAAGACCAGTCGGAAGTCAACGAGCTGCCTGTGGCTCCTTGGTATATGCGTCAAACCCAATGCCGGCAGCTCTCCTGCTATGGTACATCAAGCAAGGGCAAGTAGAGGCTCAGTTTTCGATCGTTAAAGAGTCGTAGAGAAGGGTGCTATGTGGGACAGCGTTGGCGCAGGCCAAGGTTTGTTCGGCGCTTAGTGTGAGGGTTGTTCGTCGGGTTCGGCAATCCACCTTGCCTTCGCCCAAGCAGCGCAACCGCGAGCGAGGTGGGAAAAGGGTATCCACGAAGGGCTGAGTGAGGAAGCCGAAGCCCAGCAGGCGGTAATGAGACTAGTAAGAACGCAGTGATAGGGAGAAGACGATGTGATTATGTCAATTGCGCCGCCGATGGTGGTGACCAGGAAGGCAGGCAGGAGAGCAGTAGACAAACAGGGTCACAGCTCGAAGATGAGTGAGAGTGGGGGAGGGGGAAAGAAGAACAGAAGAAAGGAAAAAAAAAGTCGTCAAGGATGTGGGAGAGGAAGAGCCGTGGAGGTATACCAAAAAAAAGTTGGGGCCAGGAGGAGGCGATGAGGCTATGCAAATATGGAAAGTCTTAAATGAGACGCACAGCGCTGTTCGGCAGCCTGGCTGGCGTAAGGCAGGGTTGGGGGTTTGGGGGTTGCTGTGTGAGGAAGAAGCCACTTATCAGCTCGACAGTAATCGACACTGCGGAAAGAGCTTAGGAATAAAAGGAAGGACAAGAAGAGCGGAAAAGCAGAAAGAACGGTGAAGACGACCACACGGGCAGATGGACAGATGGGCAAGGAAGTCGTGAGGTTGACTCGACCTCCACGAATGCTAGACTGCCAGTGTCAGTGGCCCACGCTGGAGAAAAGCGGCTGGTCCAACCTACCGACGAGGCGATCAATCAATCAAGTTGGTGAAGCTGAAGGCCAAACTAGCTCAGTCGTGGCTTGGGTTTAAGGCAGAAAGGTAATACTAAACGTTTGCGAGTGAATGGGAGTGGGAGTGGGAGTGGGAGCCCGGCACGGAAAGGCGCCGACCTGCGCATGCAGAAACAGGAAGACCCAGCAATTGGGCGGCCGGTTACAGCCAGAGTGGTATTATTATCGACGCAATCGGCCTCGGGCTTCCAATGCGACGGGGAAAGGTCGAGTCAAGCAAATCAGGCAGTCAGGGATGATCAAGAGTGGGCGGGCGAGCGCCATGATCGGTACCATCCCAAGCCGGCACAAAAACGCCCATTGGTAATATTATGGGGCACAGGCGCAGATGGGGGCTAGGCGCAGGTGTGCAATGTGAAAAGGTACAAAGTGGGCGCGGTTGGTGGTTCTCAAGAGGCATCAATTGATGACGCGAAGGAGCACTTGAGGATATTGGCCAGGTCATGAGGAATGCATCCATCAAATGGATCTCCCCAGTCCCGCCTGGCTTTGTGAACATTGTTGAACACTGAAGTCTTCCAGGTTCCGACCGTCGCCGATTAGAACGGGCGATGGCCCCCTTCCAGGCCTCTCTTGAAGAATCCCAAACCATCCGTGGAGGGATCTCGAGCTAGGTCAGCATATAGTGGCCACGAATGGCCCGCCTACATTCTATAGATTGACCCATTCAATAATAATGCTGCGGTTGTTAATGGAATCCATTGTTCTCTGTTCCGCAGGCTCGCTGGCTGGCGCACCGTGGTGCTCAACATCATTGATTTGATCCCCTGACAGGCAATCAGATCCTCGGCGAGCATAGCGAAGGGAAATGCTGGTCCTTGGTTCAACTTTGGTCGCGGACCAGGCATGATCACAGTTCAAGGGCATAACCTCGGGGGTCGCTTGCGCCTGCTAGTTCCGCAAAAGCCGCTACGGATAATAATGATCCTTTGACCAATTCATATTTCCGAGGAAATCGCGTTCTGGACACCTTCCTCGCCCCGTCCACTGTCCGGGAACGGGGTTCGAGGCAAAACCTTTGACATGTTCCACAGCCAGCTTTGACCCTCCCGGGAGCCAAGACGACTCGGTTCTCCTTCCAGAGGGTACGACATCGCCAATGATCCTCTCTCAACTCGGTAGCCCCTTATTTATTAGCACCTGGCCCGAAAGAGACAAGTGCGGGGCAGGCCGGCGGCAGCACTTCCATCACGCTGTGAATGGTTCCAACAAGCAGGGAGCCCGCAAGAAACCTTGCACTCCGATCTCGTTGCGACTCTCGGGTCAACGTCAACGAACAACCTCTTCACATCCATCACGGGTAAATCCATTTGTCATGGGCTGACCGACTTGTTGACGTCCAAGCCGCCTCGAACCTCACCAGCCTTCCTCGCACTAATCGCCGACACTAGAGCGCACGAGGCTCGCCCTGGGTGGGCAGGTGGGGGAAGGATTAAGGCATATCGGCTCAAGTGGTAAGGAGGTACATGCTTTGGTCCCTCAGTCGGTGATGTGATGCAACCGTTGCGTGTGCTGAATCTGGGGGAGAAGGGATGGGAGAGGACGGGGACGAAGCCCGAGAATTGGACGGCCGAGTCCATTCGCCATTTCTCCTTGATCCGGCATGTGTCCTGTGGCCGGGACCTTGTGCATCCTGGATGTCCCCGTCGCCGACCTCAATTTTTCATGTGGTAAGACAGGGGTGCTGCTTCAAGGCACACAGCAGGCTTTCTTTTTCGAGTCTCGCAAATCCGAGGGATTGGGCATCTGTCCAGACCTCGCGAATCGTCCCCACTCCCTACATCGAAAAAAACATACCGCTAGATGCGATCACTGTCCGGTTTCCTCGCACATTCCTTGAAAGAATGCAAGCCCCTGACTTTGCCAAAACGTGTGATGGTCTGCCTCCCGATATCTCTATCTCGCTCCATGTTCTCTAAGCCTGTGCTCGTGCTCTTGTCTTGCCCCCTTCCCACTCGTACCCTCTGCTGTGCTGGCAATTATTCTCAAGCCCCGTGGCGCTTCGACACTGAGAGACAGCGGGCGGGCGTAGCCCGCTCCGGCCTTGTTCAACCTCACAGCATCTGATGCAGCCCTTTTCATGTCATACAAAACCACATTCCAGTAAATCCCAATCGAACGTGACGCTTACTCGGTAGGGCGACGGAATCCACATGCACGTACTTGGACGTCGAAACGCGCTTCTTTCCATGTTTGTTGTTCCCCAGTGGGCTAATCTGAGTTGGGCACTCAAGTGAGGCGCAGCCAAATGCACATCGCCACTCTCCCGTATCCGCCCCTCATCGGCACACCTTGGTGGGATTTTAGGTTAATGGTCAATGTTTCCAGTTGCTCGAGTCACCATCATCCATGATATTACCCCTTGCTGTGTTTCTGGAACATGTCCAGCACCTATCAGTGTTCTTCTCGACTCTGCCGCGCCTCTCATCAGCCCCATTGCTGTGCACGAGCGTCGGAAATTGATATTGAGACACCTCTCGGCTTGTTGATTACCAAGGACGGGCGGACGAACTATTTTACCTTTTCACCGAGCATCCCATTAGATGATGCCAAGCCGGGATTCAAGGGGAGGCACAAGGACGCTGCACAATTCGCAAGCGGTTTTTGATCATGAATTTGGTTATGGTGAGCACATCGTAAGCCGTACCCATCAACCCTTCGTGATTCGACCGCCATCAATACGTCCATGGATCTACAAGTATTATCCATCAAGGATCGATGTAGTATTGATGCACTGAACAAGAATCGTGCTCTTGCTGGAAACGAAACGTGAGAAACCGGGGCTGATTGGTGCAACTCTACTGCTGCTCCCTGCTCTGCCCTGCACCGCCACAAGGCATACTTTGGAACCTCAGACTTGAATCGTGCAGGTCAACACCCCCTGGAACACCCATCCTCGCTCCACAATCAGTCTGGTGGCCAATATGAGGTTCCATTTCGACTTTTACGACCTTTCAGGTTGTTGTTGAAGCTATCAGTGAACACGGACATGGGATGAATTGTTGCTCAGGAGACCACCCGAGTGCAGCGAAGCCCTTGTCATGACTTAGCGCCGCTCTCCCGCCCTTTGTTACTATTCGCGGTCTCAGCTGGGCAGCCTCGAGTATCTTTGAGGCCCTAGATTACTTGATAAAGACACAAAAGTGATGTTTCAACCTAAATCTGAAGGGTTCATGGAGTGGCTGTGTTTGTGGGAGCACTTGCTTAATTCCAATGTTTGCCTTTTTCCTTCTCGCAAGTCAGCATCTTCTCTAGCCTCCTGAATCTGGAAATATCAACTGATGCCACTAATAATTGCAGTTAATATCTCCTATACCGTAGTGGCTTGGGCAGTCAAGCCTGGACCGAGCAAGCGACTGAAGTCCCCCACGTTAAGTGCCAGCTTCTCCCAAGTCATCATCCCCTACACCTATGTATTTGAAGTTCAACGTAGAGCCATAGTCAGTATACCTCGCCGGGCAGCGGGGCCATTTCACCATCGGAGCTAGAATGAAGACACCCATCTAATTGATGTTTATGATATTATTCGGTTTCGAGGCAATTCCGGGGAGGTAGATGAGGTCGATGGGCAGTCGACTGGCTGACTAACCATACGTCGGAGATGGATGGCAGCTTGAAGGCGCACCTGACACGGCGGGAGGAGGTTCATATTGCGTCAATTTGATCTCTTCTTCTTCGAGCAGCGCTCGAAGCGGACGGCGATCAATAGCAGCGTGACTCGTCAGCGGGCTCCGGCGACTTGGGAATATTTATCCTCGTAGGGCCAGAGTGGGCATTCCAAGGTTTCGCAAGTTCGAATCCCTTCACCAAGAGACACTCTTCCTGGGACGCTCTTCTCCTCCCTAGCTGGATCTGCTTGAATGACGTGATCCAACGGCGCGGGACTCATCACGCTCAAAGTGTGGCCTTGCTCACTACGAGAGCTACCATCTTTGCCTTTTCTCTTCGATATCACGGCGGTAGCATCACCTAATTTGCCCTTCCTCTTGAAGGTGCATCACGAGCGAGACGAAAAAAAAGGGAGGACTGATTTACGCCCCTGCCATCGCTTGCGTGCAGCCCATCTCCCACCGAAATTTATCTAGCTAGATACCCCCGGAAAACACACCTCCATACGGCACAAGTGGAGAGCTTACGCCCATCATGTTCCAGGTCCGCATCACCGCCGCATCCCGGTTGCCATTGTGCTAGCTCAGCGCTGACTCGATCCATTTTCTGTAGCCGAATCCTCAGGACCACATGCACCTTCGCCTCCACCGGGCCAGGTCGGTGGTCTTAACGACTCAAGAGTAAGTTTTTCTTAAAGCTCGCATCGTTCCCTCGTTCTACTCTTCCCCTGCTTTGTCCCCCACTTCAATAGTCAGGAGCCCTATCCCCTTCTCGCTGTGTGAGAGAATCATGACATCGGATAGGGCTCCGTTGCACCCTCGAATTGTTAGTCCATGCGTCTTTTAGGTCTCTAATACCCCGAGCCGGCAGACTCGTCGAGATCCGTGCTGCTCAGCGCACCTTTGAGGGCGCCTACATGCGCACCGCCCTCTCCCAGTTCTCGTTTGCCCTCATCATCCTCAAGATCTTCACCTCCGAGTTCTACGCCATCGGCGCCCTCTTCGCCGTGTACGGTGCTGCCGTCATGCTCGTCGCCATCTACCGTCGGTATGAGGGCAACCGCCAGTTCTTCAGTCACATGGAAACCGACGGCCATGCCACCAAGAAGTTCCGTACCGCTGGCAACAGCGTCGTCCTTCTAACCTTCCTCAGCGTGTGCGCTTACGTTACCCTCCTGGTTCTCACATGGCGACTGTCTAGTTGACATCCCAGACGTGAGTCGTAGAGCTGTTGCTTTATGTCTCGGGGCCTAGGCTTAGACAGAGAACCTCCTGTCGTCTTTCTTACGTGCACCGTATCTTTATACTTGTATTCGGAGCCTCCGGCTTTTGGATCTTCTTGGGCCGGTTTTCTTTTTTCTTTTTCTGAATTCTCCGTTTAATAGCGTTACCTTGCTTGTTTCCTTCAAGGGGGTGGCCCAGTCGTCTTATATTGCCTTGCTATGGTGATCCACCTCGAAACATTGGTGTCTCTCGGGTAGCCTATGAGTTGTATCTCGTCCCTGCTCGCGCCTGACGGCTTGGGATGGAATGCAGCCTGGCCGGTTGCAAGGGATAGCGAACATCCTTAGTGTACATGTACGCTAGGGCCAGGCGGAGGGGATGATGGCAGTGCACCTTGAGATTTCTTTGAGGATAGCTACACTAGTCAAAGGACTTGTGATACATTTGTATTGATGCATTAGTGATCTAAACATAACAGGCAGCTGAACGCCAACTCTAACGCAATTGAAGTCATTAACGGGAATCCCCCAAGAGTAAAAACAAAACGAAAAGAAGAAGAAGAGAGAGAGATGAGACACGATCTCCACGAACCGAGGGGGACTGCCGATAGCAGATAATGCAGACAGAGCCCACTGGGGCTTACATGAGAAAAGAAGAAAAAAACGCAGAAAAGCCGTGAAATCTTTGATGCCGACACAAAAACAGCCCACCAGATAGCCCAGACGGAAAATCCCATGAGGAGGAAACCCCAACTCATTAACACACAAGACAGATAAGAAGAAGAAAATGATTGAAGCCCGCAGTGGCCGTTGCACCGACCGTCATAGAAGCTCGAAGAAGAGAGAGAGAGAGGGGAGAAAAGGAAGAAGAAATCCCCGTGAACAAAGGAAATAGTAAAAGAAGATGAATGATGAAAAGATCCAAGAGAAAAAATGCTTTTGTTTTCTCGTCGCCCGATTTTTAGATACTCGCCATTGAGTCCGACCGCCGCCATGTATACCGCCGTGTAAAGAAATTCCAAGAGGGAAAGTTGCCTTGGAGAGAAACAGAGAGAGACCATCGACAACGCAAAATGAAAGAAAGAAAAATCCCAAAGCAGGTATAGTAGTAAAGAAACAATATTTTGAAGAGTTGCAAAAACGCGCTGGATGGAAGGGGAACCGAACAAATACAAGCTGGACGTCCAGCAGTTGGGGTTGCACATACGAGAAAGTGCATGGTGGTTAAAAGGTATCCCTTACTTTTTTCTACCTTGGCCACCCGGAAAAGTAGCTGAGGAGTCGGGCGGCCCAGAGCGAATGAGTCTTGGTTCATGAGCTCGTCATGATCATGGGCGTGTTCGTTGTTAAGGTCTCGCGCGGTTTATAACAAAAGGAGCCGAAAAGCTGGAAGGGGGTTGGTTGCTGGAGACCAAGCGAAGCAAAGCTTCTTGGACTCAGAGCTGGCATCATCCAATTCATTGTTCTCCCAAATCCTTCAATGTTGTGATGAAACAACACATCAATTGCACCGTGCTCGTTTTCTTGATTGATGTTCGCATGTAGCCGTCCTTTTGGGTGAGCAACACATGACCTCCGTTTCAGGATGAGCTTCAGAGCCTGTGCGACCATCTCGACAGCGAAATTTGGGAAATCCAGGCAAAGTTGAATGCCACAAATCCGTGAGCTCGGGTTATCCTTGGGAACCAGGGCAGATGAAGCGAACAAAGAGAGATGGGGTAAAAAATAAAAGAAGCTCTTTGTGCCGGACCCACGTTCAACCAGTTAGGTTTGGTTCGCAACCGAGGCTGCGAGAAGATTGAAGAAAAAGATAATTGGTCTTGGTAGGCGAAATACCGAGGCCTTCGTGGCCCTTTTTCTGCTCTTCACAGCCATCCGAGTTTGCCTTCGTTACTCTTTTATCTCGGGTTCAAATCGGAATTGGTTCGTGCGCGTGATCCACCAACATTGATGTTGGGTGTGGTGATCAGGGAGGGATTTGAGCCCCTGTTTGACAGCTTCCCAAAGGATAGAATCCGAATTCGGCAGGCCGGCCCATCTCTCGAGCCAGGTAAGCTTAAATCCAAAGCGTTGCCTGACTGAGCGCTAGAACACGAGTAGCTCGGTGCGAAGTCTTGTGGGGCATGAGTTGAGACCCCGGAAATCTCCTCAGTTTCCTTGCACCAGCACAGCAGATCAAGCTGGACAGCCCGGCGGAGCCGCTAGTGTTTCTTCATCTCCGCATCACCGTCACCGAGCTCCGACTTCAGCCCAAACTCCTACCCATGCGCCCTCGCCTCTCTACTCTCACCGAGGAGGGTAGTACATGCCCCCAGAGGCTTGTTGACCTTCGGGAGCATGGACTTGCTCGGGCTGGCCTGGAGGGTTCGATCCGTTTTCGCCATAGCCCCAGCCCCCATAGGCATCGCCTGTCTTTCCATAGTGATACTGCGGTTGCCAGTTTCCATAGTTCGAGGGCGGTACGGCTCCGGCTGACAGCGATACATTGTGTTCAATCGCCGTTCCCGTTTGCGTGGGCTCCACGCCCGACACCGTGGTCGCGATTGGGGGTGGATACATCTCCGATGAGACCGTCGAAGGTTTCCGGTCGAACTGCCTACTTGCCATTGTAGGATATTGCCCTGATCCCTGCACGCCCATTCCGTCGCCGCTGAACGATATAGAGCGTGGTGGAGGTGCTGGATACGAAGACCAAGAGACCTCGTCCCGAGGCGCCGACTCGCTCGTCACCGGAGCATTCCATCCCGCGGACGGAGGCGCGTGGGGCGTATATGGAGAAAATGATGGCGTGATTGGTGATTCATGAGGATACGTCCTCCAAGTCGCGTTCAGATCGTTCGGCTTGGTTGCCGAGCTGGGGCTCTGATCTGCCGACATCCAGTTCGCCATCGGTTGCGCGGCAAAGTCGAAAGGACGCCCCGTCGCAGGCGCGCTTGTTGGCACTTTAGTCGCAGAAACATCACGGTTAGCAGTGCTCTCGCGAGGTTGGATCCGCTGGTCGCTCTATACTTCTCCTTGTGGGGGTACTTACTCTTTCCGTCTGGGGAGAAGGGCTCGGGTCCTGCAGACTTCATCGCGGGAGGTGCCATGTTCTGAAGCGGGGGCATGGCAAGAGGCGGGTATGGCTGATGGCCTGCTAAATCGTTGGGGTGGCCGCTGGAGATGGCGGGTGAGGACGAGGCCGAGGCAATCTTGGGACCCGTCGATGCCCTCGAAGAGCCCTTGGACCGAGTATCTGTCGGGGGCGGCTGATCGACCGGATAGAAACTGCATTCCTTTTTAACCGGATGCAGTTCACGCAACGACCCTGGATGTCTGCAGGCGAGGGGATGCATCGGATTTTCCTTCGCCGGCAATGACCTAGACGGCGAAGCGCGTTAGCCTCTGGTAACAAAAACTCACGGCCCTGCCTGCCCTATCCACCCAGCAGTCGGTCTTTTTCGGCCCCTACTACTCCGCATCGACTCGTTCTCACGTACCGCATGCAACCGAGGTTCTATGATAACCCAGCTTGTTTCTTCGCTTCTCGCCAGGCATCCCCATGGAGAGGTGATCGGGTACGTTCGGCTGGGATCTAACATTAGGAGTGGACAGCGACCGTTTTATTTTCAGACTTGCTTGAGACAGAGAATCTTTGCGATCCTTCAAGGACATGGCCGAGTCCTGCGATGGCCTCATCTCCAAGGACGAGCCAGGTGGTGGTGGAAGGCTGTAGTTGGACATGTACCCGCCATGCGGCATATCCATCTCAGCGCCGTTCGGGGGCGGCGGTGGGGGTACTGGTAGGACATTATGGATGTCATGAGTTCTTCAGGTGGTGGCGGAGGTGAGGAAGAAATATTGGGCGTCCCCAATGGTTCAACTGGCCATACACTAGGTTGACGACAGCAGGGAAAGTATGTGTCACCCGAGTCGCGTGGAGGGCAGGCACGATCTAGTCTGCGGTCCAGGGCCAGGCGCGGCAGTTTCTCGAAATTAGAGGAAAATGAGGTGGACGACGGAATGAGGAAAAGGAAATAACGAGGAGCCCTTTGGTGCGGAGTTGTCCTGCCGCTGTTTCAGGCTTAATGTCTGGATCTCTGGCTTTCTCGTGCGCTACCGGTAGACGAGAATACTGGGGCAAAGGGTGTGTATCGCCAAGGTCATTCCACCGGGAACAACTAGTCTGGGTGAGTTAAAGGTATCCTGTACAGGCAGAGATACAATCCAGTGGCAGAGAGAATGAGGGGTGGGAGGGGGAGAAACCAAGGAGGGCAGCGAGGAATGGTGACGAAAAGGCAACAGGCTCTCTACGGACGAACCACTAAAACTTGGGAGAGATGAGAAGACGGGCGAGTTGGGCCAATCGAGCTTGGTGGACGGGACGTTTGAAGGAGTTGCCTGTGGTTGAGTAGCCGGTACGTGGAGAAGGCGGCTCCCAATGTTTGGTTCAGTGTGACGAGGTAATTATCCCTTCCGAACTTGGGCAGATGGGCGTCGGCGGCGACAAGAGGAAAGCGAAGCTATCCCTGGAGCTTCTTTGCTTTGAATTAACACGCGAGTGTTGCCCGTATTAGCGCTGACGGTATTATAGCGAATGATGGACCTGGGGCGGCTGCTAGTACAATGCTGCGATTAGTCCGGCAGTGAACCTTGGAACTGTGGTTATTGAAACACGATGCGGGACGGGAAGGGCGGTTGTGGCGAAAGGGATGATGAGGGTCTGAAGTGATGTGGCATCAATGGCAAGTCAATAGGATGAAAGGGTTCGAAGGTGAGGGGAAGTATGAGAACAGGTCCCGGCCATATCCTTCGAAATGAGAAGATGGGGCCCCTTGGGCAGGCACTGGTGGGTGGATTTGGAGAGAGCAGGAGAGCAGGAGAGCAGGAGAGCGGGAGAGTGGCAGAGAGTGGCAGAGTGAGCGGGGAGGCAAAGGATGGAACCCCAAGCGCAACTGGAGATGGGGGCGGGATGGGATGCCAGGTACCTCTTCTGATTGCCTTCCGCAATCCCAACACACCAATTTTCAACGTGGATGCGGGAGCGGCGTGGGGACGGCGAGGCTCTGGCAAGTGGTGAGTTTGAAATTTCTCTCGCTTGATCTTTTTTCACGTTGAACCTCTAGGGCGGCGTATCGGTCTATGGGTTGTGGAGGAGGAAGTTCACTGCGGCTGAGACAGAGAACTAAGGGTCGCAGTAGATCCAGATGTGGCAACTGGGAGTCCGTGGTACTCGCAGTAGAGATGATGGGCAGCAGAGGATTTCGGCGCTGTCGTTGGGAGCGGTGTTGCAGCCTGGCTCGATCCTCGAGCTTGGGAACAGGAATATATGCACTGGGCGGGTTGCTGGATGGGTGGGAGCGCGAGATACCAGTGATGGTGTTAATCTGGGTCAGGGATTTTGGTTGCACCACTCAGGCAAGCACAAGCGCAAGGGTGGATGGCCAGTGGATGACGAGCTCCGGCTGACAACCACTCCGAGGGCATTCAAGAAAATGCAAAGGCGACGCGTGTCTCTGGCTTCGTTTCGCGTCAATTTTGATAGCCACTGGCTGGAGTCTAAGTCAGAATCCTGCTTCACCCAGTCTTAGTTTGCGATGCTAGTGTCAACTAGGAGCCGAAGCTACTCGGTCGCAGAGGGGCAAAGCGCGGCAGCGCCCTGGGCAGGAGAAGCCGGTCAGGGGGAAGGGGGCGGCAACAACCCAAGCACAGGGATCGTGGCTCAGCCAAAGAAAAAGTGCAACCCTTTGGTGAGGAGGACAGGAAGGAGTGTTGGGTTGAGAGACGGACAGAGAGACGGATCAAGGGCAAGGTCAGGGCCAGGTCAAGGGAATACCGGACGAGGTGTGAGAATGGGGAGGAGGAAGAGCAGGGACAAAAGAAGGCCAGCAACAATAACAATGGCAACGGCAAAAAAGTTCCAGGAGCTGGATATAATTGGGACGAGGTACCTTATAATGCAATACCCGTGGGGCCGTAAACACGGCTGTCAAGAGGCGACCAGGCGACTAGAGTAAGTGTGGTGTAGGTGAACGGAATTGGCGATTGAAAAACGACGGCTGAGTGAGTTGACTATACGGTAAGAGAGATTCGTCTATACTGGGAAAGAAAACCAGGGCAGTGCCGATATTATGGGAAGGGCGGATGTTAATCGGAGTTGGATTCGTTCCTCGGGGCCGAGTCTTCACGTATATTATTGCCTGTAAGTTGTGCGATAGAGCGAAAAGAGTTGAAAACGAGTGGCGGCAGGGGGAGACGTTGAAATACGACGGCCGGGATGCGGGCGGGCGGACAGACGGCGAGCTGATTAGAGAAAAGAGAACGACAGGATGGCTTCTTCTTCTCTTCGCGGGGGCCTCGATGAATTATGAGGGCTTTACAGGAACGTGGGTAGTATTACAAGGAAGCGACCGAACTACGTTCCTGTATAGAGGAGGAAGAGGATGAGAAGGAAGAAATGCTGAGAGAAGGTAGAACCGAGTTCAAGGAAATAAACGAGTGATCCGAAGGAGGAAAAAGAAGAGTCGGGGAAAAGAGGAAAGTCGGAGGGGGAAAGACGAGGTAAAGGACGAAGGAGGATGAAGAGGAAGAAGGCGGATAGAAGAAGAGAGATTCAATGTCAATGAGAGAGATACATCAGTGAGCGGCCAGCTCTCAGAGACAGAGCAGGAGGGTCAGGGTCGAAAAGGCGCGAGGTACGAAGCGATGAGGGGCTTAATACCTGGTCTTGCAGGATGCCAACGGTAAAATAATACCTCCAGGGAAGAAAAGATGTGTAAAGAAGAGACAGGATGGAGGAAGGGAAGAAAAGTGGAATCAGAAATTAATAAAATGGTTCTGCCATTCTGGCTTTGACATAAAACTAATAACCTACCAATACTGGCAAAAATGGCAGTTACGGATGCTCAACGGCTACATATCATCCAGTGTTGACAATACTTTGCACCTCCCACCTTGCAGTACATGTAGACTGGCAAAACATGATACCAAGAGCACATCTATTTTAGGGCTACGCATCCAGCCGGCTTCCCCCGCCTCCCATCCTCCCTTGCTTGCGTTGACGACAGAAGGGAAGAGGAGGAGGGGGGAAGAGGTGAAACGCGACCTCCATGGGAGCTACTCGGAAGGCTAAGATGATTTTCTTCCATTGCTTCCATGGCGACCCTTCGCAATAGAACCAACCCCCGTCAATCTAGAAGATTAACCGATTTCGATATGCAACAGGCATTAGGGTTGACCATGTTGGCGCCAGTTCCCACCCACTTTCTGGGTCCGGGACCACACCCCAGATCAGCCTGCCATGAACCCTGTCACCATCAACGGGGCGTGCGGGTTGTGTGCGCTGCGCACGCGTGCCTGTGCCTGTGCCTGTGTCTGTGCCTGTGCTGTGTGCTGTGTGCTGGTGTATGTGTGAGTGTGAGTGTGAGTGTGTCTGGAGGGTGGTGTGTGTGATGGATCTAATGGAATGGATGTGAGCCCGCTCAAGGGCGTGTGCTAGCTACATGTGTAGGGTAGGGGTGGAAACCTTTTTTCTTTCTTCTTTCATACGAAACCTCTGTATAAGAGCAGGGAAAAAGAAAAGAAAGAAAAAAACGAAAAAGAGGGAAAGAAAAAAAAAAAAAGAAAAAGAAGAAGAAAAGAAAAAAGTAAAGAGAGAGCAACAAAGTATCGTTAGAGGGGGACCAGGAACATTTGGAAGCGGAGTGCGACGACGGAGTATCCCGCAACATCCTTGGAGAGGCTGGAATTGAAGGGATCCGCTTGCTTCTCCTCCAAGTCAGGGATCAAGCAAGTTTCCTAACCCCACGACCGCCCATGGTCAGTCCACTTCTTCTTTGACCTATTTCCCGACGAATACACGTTGTCCGCGTGCAAGACGGGCAGCCTTGGCCGACAACGATGGTATCATGGCCGGTCAGGGTGCCGTGTTTATGTTTGTCGGGGTTGAAGAATGTGATATATATTACTCCGTGCCTATTCTGATATCACCCATTCTTCCTTCATTATAGCCTCAGTGCGTTGCCAGCACCTCTTCAGCGAGAGAGGGCAGCTCAACTTATTATTGCCGTTTCACCTTAGGATTCGAGTCGCGCCGACCCTCGCACCCATAGCTCGAGCTGAGGCTCTTGCTCGGGAGCTTCAGAGTTTTGACAACAGTCTCCAGAGTACCTGACAGCGGGTATGTCCATGTCTATGTGTCGACACCGCGCGCGCGCTGGATGTTCCTGCATTGATCTTCCGCAACTGCTTCCGTTGGCAAGCAGAGTCGCTGGCGACATCGACGCTAACCTAGAACCGTGTCGCGACGCCAGGCCCGACCGAGGATAGGCTCTCTCGCTCTCTTCCATATATTTACTCGCAGATTTAACTTGTGTCTCGCTCGCTGCTTTCAGCTTGACCTTTGAGGGTGAGTACCTTGGAATTTCAACATGGCCACTGGCTCTGTAGTGTACACAAAGGCAACGAGAAGAGGGAAAAGAGCGTTGAGACCTGGAGGGACAACTTTTGAACAGGGTCAGGGGTTGATTGAGTTGGAAGGTTTAGCATTGACCTATCAAGCGCGTAATCGTGGGCCTGCGCTAAGGTACATCCACCCTCCTCTTGTCATGCAACTTGAAAGTTGCTCCACTCCTAGCTTCCAAGTACCTCGGTACCTGGAGGCTGTTCGAGCCAGTGTTTGCTACTTGGCATTTGCCAAAGACGAAAGACATCCAGATGAGAGCGTCGAGACCTCGGCGCGTTTTTTCTTTCGATACTGTTGCTTGCGA